ATTATTACACCTCATTCATTTCATAAAATGTTAAAAGTCATCTTGAAATAATCTTATTTGATATTTCTCATGATTATTTCTGTTGAATCTAAGACAATAACTTTGATGTTATGTTGATAGCAAATCCTAAACTTAATTAATATCATCAAATCATGGGCGGATCTAAGGAGAAAGCTTTGGGGTTGAAGCCCTCCCCCCTCCTCCCCCAAAATGGTAAAATATAACCGTTTTATGGAAAAAAATTATCTCTTAAAGTATTATTGTTTGTGTAATTACATTTAAAAGGACTTCAGGAATCACTTAAACACCATTTCATAAAGGTAGTTAGTTTCTTTCTTTTTTTCCAAAGTATTTATCATTATTTTTATGAAAAAAAAAAATTTCGGGCTGAAGCCTTTTTAGAAAGCTGATTATAATTTTTTTTTGTGGTTTTTACATTTTTTTAAAATGTTTTTTCTTTTATTATACACAGATCAACTTTAATAACATTTTAGGTGTTTTAAAACTCAATCTCTTTCACGAAAATTCACTTATGTTTTTAAAAAATTCAATACAGTCACAGATGGGCCCAATTGTTCACTGACACAACAGATTGGTAGCACTTGATAATAATTAGCAATCATATTTATGTGACCAATATGAAGAAGCATATTATAGGAGTAAATATCAATCAGACTAAGAATCTCATTCAAAAGAATTTTCAATTGTTTTCTTGGACAGCAGTTCCATCCTAGTCCTTCAAATACATATCCATGTTTTAGATAAAAATGTGAATCCTCTGAAAGAACTGGAATCATATCAACATCAATGCAATCAACTTCCATGGAACGAACAACAATCACTTCAGCTGTCACACTGTCAGATATTAGACATTTTCGCAAATCTATCATTTCTCTGTCATAATACCAGTTCAATGGTACATATCCTTCATAAGAAAAATTATCTTCACCATATTTTTTAAATATAAACACAAATAAAGAGAGAAGCATAGACTAATAGAAGAAAACACTTTTTCCTATTGTAGTGAAGTATCCTTTTACAAAACTTTGATTTCTATTTAAGTTAATCGGTTGTGAAAGATGAAGATTCAGATTTAAGGCAATAAATTTAGGCTCTAAGTGAATATTTGGACTTCTAACCACTTTTAATTGGTTTATATTGGAAGGAATGCTTTTTTTTTTTTTTCCTACTCCCCAGGAATTTATTTATTATACAAAATATAATATATAAATACATAAAAATATATATACAAAAAATTTCTAATTTCCTTTTATTGCCCAAGGACATTTTAAAGTAAAAGGGCTATGCACGCTGTAGGCATCTGTGGCCTGAGGCCTTTTCATTTATAGGTGAGCTTATAACCTGACCATTGCTGTTTATTACAGGTTGATTACAAATGGATATTTGCACATTGTGTTGATCTGAAAAAATAAAAAACCCATTTATATTTTGAAATTTAACAGTAATAGCAAGTGTACATTTTAGCCATATAATTCAAACATAAATATAAATTAATAAACTTATTTAACAAAGTCAATGGTGGATAATACTATTAAAATATTGCTTCATATTTATAATAAATATCATTCTATGTACCTGAACATTAACAATAGTTAACAATGACTTTAAATAATAGCATTAATTTTGAAAGCTCATTATTTATTCTAAGAATTGAATTCTCAGGTTTGAAAGTGGTTTATTCATTCTAAAAAAGATATTCACTTAAGGTTGTGTTTCAATCCTCGAAAACAAATTTGCATTGGTAAACAATAACAAGTTACAGCATCACAGAAATACAAAGCATTAATAACAATACTAGTAATAAAAATTAATAAATTGTTTAAATGTATATGGTGAATGCACCAGTTATAGACAGGGAGACCAATGATGAACAGGTTGGATTTTAAATATAAATAATAAGCTTTCTGGTTGATTTAAAGGTTTCAGTTTTTTTTCTAGATTGAAGAACAATACCCTCTATAGACAACTGTATGAACAAAGTTTCCAAAAGAAAATTTTAAAATACCTATTATTGTAGTTTCTATAGTGCCCTTGAGATCAGTGTGTTTCATATCTTCCTACTAACAGTTTTGCTTAGAATAAGTTGAACATATATGTTATCTTATCTTTACAGTTAAATAAAGATTTTAGAATTTTTCTAAGGTATGCCTATTACTGGTACCGACTCCCTGTTTATTACTAGAACAATTGAATTTCAGAATGTCCATCACTAGTGCAAAAATATGTTTTTTTAAAATGGGGATTATAACTGGATAACTGAATATTTTTTTCAATTTTAAAACGTTAAATTGAAAAAGGAGACCCTAGAGATTCAAAGTATCCGATGGAGAAGTTTATAACTATAATAATTATAGGGCAATAAGCCAAAAATTTCCTTAGATATCTCCATCACTTGTGTGCTTGCCCTTCTTAACTTTCAAAAACAAATTATTAAAAATGTTAACAATAAACATTTATGTATTTTCATTATAATGATTTGACCCACTTTGTTGTTCTTCATCAGATTGTGGTATAGGCCACTGCAGGTAGCAGTTGATAGACTGGCAGTTAAAACAGGTCTGTTAGACACAGATCTAAAGATTTATCTAAAGGTTTGTCTGTTAGACCAGTATTATCAACTACTGCCTGCAGTGGCCTATACCACGCCCTGATGAATTTCTACAAAGTGGGTCGAAACCTCGACGTAACTATTGTATAAATATATAAATAAAATAATTTTTGATTTAATATCATATACTGTTACACTAAGTGAAGGGAAATGATGGCATTAGCATTGCCCGGGGGGGGGGGAGGGGGGAGGGGGACGCCGAATGTCGAATGTCTAAGGCCGGCGATGGTCCTGATCCTGATTTTGCTTCCATTTGAGAATTGAGTGCAGTAGTTACTTCTCTTGTGAATAGCCTCATTCTTATATCAGAGGGAATGTAATTGGATTAATCTTATGCTTTATTTTTGTATGAGGGAATCTGCAAGTAGCAATACTTATCACTGTTTTTCTATTGATATTTAGAGGTTCATATCTTTTTTCAGTTCCATCATCAAGCTAGAGATATAATAAAGCGCCTTCTCTATAGGTTATCTTCGACTTTGATCTCTATTTATTCATTTATAATTCCCTTTCTTGCCTTGGGAAAAAAACAGAATTCGGCAGGAGTAGATCATGGATACTACCACTGCCATAAAGCAGTTATAGATCAATGAAGTTCATTAACCTTGAAGTTTGTACATCGAAAATTCTTCCATCAGCTCATCTGATTCTAGGTGTAGGTTGAATTCCAGTCGTACACGAAGGCTCCACCGGAAGGCCCTGATTGCGGAAAAAAATACAAGACGATAAGTATTAACATCAAACATAAAAAAAAAAAAAAAAAAAAAAAATGTAACGATCTTAGAGGCCCTCAGAAGGACTCAAATAATTCTACAGTGATAAAAAAAAAAAATACAAAACAATTATCTTTGAAAACACCAGAGGCACCACAAACATTTAACTACAATGGAGGAATCTCTGATCATTTAACGGCGAAAGCAAAGGACAATAAATTTATGTTAGTGGCTCATCGGAGGGGCCCCAAAAATTTGCGGAAATAAACGAACAAAAAACAATTAATTTTGGAGCTCTCAGAGGCAGAGATGCCCAGAAGGGGGTTCCATGGCGCAAGTTTCGCCATCATCTTTGAGAGGGCACATTATGAAGGGGTTTTGAATTTTTGAGGGGGTCACATTTCGATGGAGTAATGAATTTTCGATATGAAAATTTTTAAATCAAAAGGCAAGTGGAAGCATAGAACAGACTGTAGGATGAGTAATTGTATTTAATCTACGATCTTTTAAATTCTACTTTTTTTGCACTGTTTTTAAGAAGAATAACAATAAAATATATTGGGAAGGGTGGGTGGAAGGGTTCATGAGCCATCGACCTTGGGAGGGTGGGTACCCCTGCTCAGAGGGGCCCCAATCATTCTGAGATGAAAAAAAAAAAAGAAACAGTAGCGAAACTATTTTATTTCAAGCAAATAATTTTGCCACTATTTTAGCCTATTTATGACCGCCACCGCGGACCATCTCCTGCCTGTAAAATACAACGGTCAACTATTAAGTATTCAAAAATACCAAACATATTTTTGGGACGAAACATACCACGGTACTAGAAAATTATATAAAAATTACCTTGGAATTCCCTCCGGAGGACCCCTGAATCGGGGGCCCTCGGCGATCGCCGACAAGCTAACCTAGTCAGGGCCTGTGTCCAAGAAATACAGTAAAATATTGAGGTCATAAAGGTTTTAAAAATATTTAGATTAAGAGCTTAATGGTATCAAAAATACTGCAGACGCAGTAAATAATTATATGAAAAGTTTTGTTTTTGTCAAAAATAAAAAAGTTTCTTTAACATAAATTATGCAATGAATGTTGTTTTGATGGCCCCCCTCCTAACTTACATAAAGTTTAGCTTTGTGATTTGGCATTTACTTTTTCGTAAACTATTTATTATACTACTAATATAAAATATATGGTAATTTCAAAAAGTGTTAGTATACTTGACATTTAATTATTAAAAAAAAAGAAATGAACTGGACTGAATATATCTTTGAAATATTCAAATGACACATGTTTTATAAGTATGTTATTATCTAAATGCAGAAATTGTATTATTTAATATAGAATAATTATTTCTTAAGTCCTTTAAAATATGTTTATTTATTTATTTGACACTATTATTGAAACTTACTACTGTAACCGATGACTGCCTGCCTGCTTAGGTTGAGTTTCATGGGAACATTGTTTACCGGCCATGTCTATGATTTGAAAGGGCTCTATTTTATGGTTACATGGTTTAAAAACCTTACTTACTTAAATTATTGTTCTCCGTAAAGCCTTTATGTTTGGATTTTACATAACTGAAGTGTTCTGTGTTTAGTGACATGACCTATTTCCAATATTGATTGCATTGTTATTTCTGATATACACGATCTATTGAAATGGAAGGAGGTGCTAGAGCTTTAATTTTAAGGACTTTAACCAGTGAAGAATATGATACAATAGATCAGGCACTCCGAGAAAAGATAGAAACAATATTAAATGAACATATAGAAGACTACATAACTGCAAAAGCTTTGTTTGAAAGTACTAGAGGTTCTCAACGTATGTATTATTTACTTTTATTCTTTGATTCATTTCTGGATTTGGTTTTTCCTATCAATGATTGCCTCATTTATGTTTACTTAATTATGTTGCTTTTATTATCTTATTAAAAACTTTTATTATTTATTCATTGACTTGATAGTTCAGTAATTTAAATCTAGAACTTATCTCCTTTTTCTTTTCGTTTTGCTTTAGTACCATATTAGTCAAAGATGTGTTATTTATCCCTTAAATGCAAAGATAGATATTGTTATTGAGAATGAATCTTCTTATCCAGCATTACGACACACTTGGTGAGTCAAAGCCTGCTCCACCAAGGATTGCCAGTCCTCTCTATTGTGTGCCACTGCCTTCCAAGTCCTTAAACCAATAATTTTTTTAGAGTCCGTAGCCACACAATCGTCCTAACAAAGCTTGGGACGTCCTGCTCGCCTTTTCCATATTTTAAATGAGATTTCTTTCTTGTTCACTCTAATTACTTGACCATACCCAGCGAATTTGAAGAAATTAATGACATTGATGTCTTTATATATCACGCAAACTTTGGCATTTGTTCATCTTTTTGAGGAGCCCTGCTCACACCCCTCTGTATATTCTGCGGAGCACCATCCTTTAAAATCTCAGAAGGGCTTGTGTGAGGATAAATTAAAACTTTTTATTGTTCTTGCTTAAATTATTACTAGTCAAGTACTTACACTATTCCATGTTCTGTAATTACATTTTATTTTATTTTAATGATAATATCTTCTATTTTCTCATTTTTGTTAATATAATTTAGCATTATTTAATCTATTTGTTTGTATTACAGAAGATAAAATTAAGGAATCACAAGAGAAGCTTAAAACAGCCTTGCAAGAAAAAGATGATTATAAAATCAAATTAGATGCTTTATTAAAACAATTTGAAGAAACTAGCCAGCGTTTATCTAGTGCAAATCTGCAACTCAATAAATTGCGAGAAGATGTTCAGAGGTTAATATTTATTTATTTAAAGTTTAAATATCAAATCGAGTTATAGAAAATAGAAAGTTTTGCTTTCTATAGTTGTATTGTGTCTGAATGAATGACAGGTGGGCTAGGATCACACTGATTACATTTGAAAAGGAATGTTGAAGTTAGGTGTGAATCTCTTTTGACAGTTTAGGGCAGGTTATATTTACAGCTAAACAAATAAGTCACAACTAATTTAGCTTAGTGGTAGAATATAATTTAATACCTGAATTTAGTTATTAAAAATTACAGTCCTGCTTATATTTGACAGAGCTACCTTGACTTATGTGTGCCATCTAGGTTAGGATAGGTTATATTCTTGCATTTCTAATAATTTAATATGTTAAATATTAAAAGAAGTAATAAGAAAAATATGTCTTACTTGAAAATAAGTTGATATTGTTTGTTTGCCTTCAATAGAAAGTGCTAAAATACATAGTTAAAATAAAAAATAAAATTTCCCCTCTACTAATAAATTCAGAAGAAATAAGTATATTAATATAATGCGAACCCAAGACCCTTCATTACCTTCAACACATTTGTAGAATTCTCATAGAAGTTTCATAATAGTCATTAATGGCATCAAATTTATTGGTTTTATTTATTATTTTTCGTAATCATTTCATTCATATTGCGGCATTCATTCAATTTATCAAGTCAATTGATTTGGTAATAATTGTTATTATTGAATTTCTGGCTTCCTTATTACTCTTAATCTCACTAATTACAATTTCGGGTTTTTTATGTGATCAATGTAATCATTGCTCATCTGTCACCTAAACATGAAACTACTATATTTTTCTATATAATAGTGAAACTAAAGTGAATAAGTGATTAATTAAAGTTACATAATTCATTCCCATGCTTTCCAATATTTATCTTAGTTTATCAGTGTCTGTTATTACTGTAGCTGATAACTCGTAAGTTAACTGATTTTCTTCAAATTTAACTTTAATATAACCGTTGGAGAGTTGAATTACTGCTCTTCCGACCGACATCAATAACTTATGGATTTCATTCCGATTCAAACTAGAAATTAAGACAAACTTCCAACCCATTTTTATTTTATATCTTAAGTTCATATTTGTTTACTAAGGTTGGGTTTATACCATTTTGTATTGCATACAGAGGCCCAAATCCCTAATGATTTTCGTGCCCATCGGTGGAGCTATTCTAAAGTATAAAGCAAATATTAACTTTATTTCCCCTTACAAAAATATTTACTCCCACATTGCTACTGCGAATGGTCCAAATTGTGCCCATATTGTAGATATCTGCCAAATATGATACATATTTTAAAATTGCTTTAGTGTCTAGAGTAAGTATTTTTTTAGAGAGAAACAAAATTAATATTCATTTTTCGAACACCCAATAACCCTTATATACGAATTTTCGTCACAATAAAAATTTTTTAATATTCTGCACAAAATTTTAATCTAGGCTGGACTCTTTGAAATTTGTCGATAAACACAAAAATTGTAATAACTTTAGAACAGTTCCACAGATCCGTACCAAAATTATTACAGATTTAGTATGCTACACGGAATGGTATAAACTCGACCTTTATTAAAAAAAATAAGAACTGAAGATATAAAATAAAAATGATTAAGAAGTTTTTCTTAATTTCTAGTTTAAACAGAAATGAAATCGATAAATTATTGATGTTGGTTGGAAGAGCTGTAATTCAGTTTTCCAACGAGTATATAAAAGTTAAATTTCAAGAAAATCCTGAGGGGTTAGGAATGGAAAAAAAATCATCCAAGAAAATCAAGTACTATACATTGTGTTTTTAATTTATATATGAATTTGTATTTTAGAGTTTTAAAGGGGTCTAAACACGAATCTAACCTGCTTTTTCATAGCAATTTACTTGGCTTATTTTGAGATATGTTGTAACCTAAAAATCCGGAAAAAGAAAAGGAAAAAAAAACAACATAATTTTTGTTTGAAATTGAATAAAATACTTTTTTTCTCCACCCTTTAGAGGGTCCATTGGAACGAACTCTGAGATATGTGTCCAATCTTTTTCGATGTATCACCAAAAAAAAATTGGTTGAAATCGGTGACCTGACCATATATCCTCCACTTGTTAGTGCCACATGAGTTCATTCTCAGGCTTCTTACTAATCATAGTCGAACTATAATATGACATATTTGTCATTTTATTTTGTTATAAAAAAAGTTTAATTGTGATAGTTCTTGATATACAGCAAAACTTTATTGTAGTCTAAACTAAAGCCTGTTAGGGATAAGAAATATTTTGTGAAGAGAAATAAAATTGTGGATAAAAATAAAAAAAACTGTATTTAACAAAATGAGCGGTAAAAAAAAAAAAGCTTTTAGATAAAGAATGAATAAGAAAAGAACAAAAAATTTATAATTTTAATTAAACAATTACTACCGTAGAGTAGAAAACCATATAAAAAAATTTAATGGATGGTTTATAACAATTTATTTAAATTTTATTTTTTTGAATGTTTGAAAATATCTTGTAGAGTTAAAATTTTAGTAGAATGTGGAGAAAGTGAAGTTTCTTGTTTATAGGATTTTTTACTTTTGATAAAAAAACTGTGGTATTAATCAGATCCTTTTATAAAAACATTAATTGTGTATGGATTAAATATAGTAATTACATGGGTACTAAAAAAATAAATAATAATATTACGAATAGCCAAAATAAGGTTGTTTATCGTAAAATAATATTTCATGTATGTTGTTACTTTTTGTTATAAGAAATCTGTATTAATGATAGTTTTTAAAATACAGTAGAAGTTCATCATAACGCTTTCCTAAGTTCATCATAAAGAGAGAAAAAGAGATAAATAAAAAAAACACTAAAATAAATTTTCATCAAATTTATTTAATATAAAAATACAAAAAAAATGTGAATATCATAACTCTCACTGGGGTCATAAGTTCTTATTTCTGTTTGAAACAGATCAAAAGTGATTAAATTGTTTTATAAGTTCTTAACTGAGGAAATATATTATAATTTTAAAATGTTGAAAATTGTTACTCATTGGTTAATAATTATTTTCAAAAAATTGTACATCAATCACATCTGGGATGTCCACACATGGCTTTCCTTACCTATACATTTTTTAAAAATATTATTTTATTTTATTTCGATGTGTTGATAATAAGATCAATTTCAAGCAAGCATCAGAAATTTTCCGTTGGATGAAATGGCTAAATTCAACTGAAACTATTATTTTGGTTTTTGATAAATCAAAAACTACATTTAATGAAGTAATCGGGACTATTATTTGAAGAGATAATATCATTGAATGTTATTGGAATGTTACCTCATAAATTAAGTTTAAAAGTAAATTCAATAGTTATATTCATTCTTAATTTAAATAACGCACAAACATTAGTTAATGAAACATGAAGGAGAGTACTAAAAGTACTAACGGGAGCTACTTTAAATAAAAAAATTTTAATTCCAGGAATTAATTTAATATTTTCTGACACAATACTTCCTTTCAAATTTCAAAGAGCAACGTTCTTATTAATAGCTGCATTTGCTATAACCATAATCAAATCGCAGGATCAAAGTTTTGGAAAAATGTGTTTATTATTGCAGCGTCCAATAATTTCGCATGGTGAATTATATGTGGCAGTAAGAGCACGTTCATTTAAAATTTTGAAATTTATATTTCCAATGGCAATGGGCAAGGCTATGTACTAAACAATAACAGAACATACAAAAAGAATATTGTTAACAAAGAAGTTCTGTATAAAAATGGATTAAAATTGCTAATTTAAATTTAGTTTTTACTTTCTTAATCATAATATTAATTTATTGTGATAATAACACACATAAATTAAAATGGAAATTAAATATTTTTGAATGAGTCTATTTTGTATTACTTATAAATAATTTTAAGTAGTTTAATCTCGATTTTAATGGAATTTGAAAAAAAATTTATATTAATAAATGAGAATTTTTGAATCGTGATATACTCTTTATTTATTGAATTTATTTTTTATTTAATTATATGTTTTCCTCAAATTTTTAATGACTGGGCGAAAACTAGTTTAAATTAATCTATAATCATACTATGGCTGATCTGTTTATATTGTAGTTTTTTCGGTGAAAACATATTTATTATTACTGGTATGATCATTTTTATTTATATCCTTTAGTTTCATTTTATCGATAATATTAATTTTTGGGAAACACAGATGTCAAAAAGAAATTGAGGAGTTGCGACGGGAGAGAGATGTTGCTGTTGATGAAAGACAAGTTACATCAAATACTCTTGAAAGGAGAGAAGCTGAAATCGAACGGTTGAGCGGAGATGTTACTACATTAACTTCTCAATTGCGAGCTGCTATTCAAGCTAAATGTGAGGCTATAGCAGAGGCTGATGAAGCACGAGCGAAACAAATGGAAATTGATTTCAAGTATTTGCTTTCAACATTTAATTTTGATTTTATTTTGGTGGCTCTTAAATTTACTTATATCATAATTTTTTTATAGAGAGAAAAGGTTTGAAGCAGAAGTAAGTTTGCTAAGAAAACAGGTATCAGATCTGACATCAGATTTGGCAAAGGCAACTGAAGATATGTCCCGCCAGAGGCGTGAAAGCACTACCCAACTTATTACACTTCAAACCAAAGTAGCTGAAAAAGAGGAAGAGGTTAATAAATAGTTTGTCTTACATAATAAAATATTTATTTTGTTCAATTTCATTGATTCATATGTATATAGAAGCATATTATTACTAATATTTATGTTTTATCAATCATTTGAGGTCAACATTAATAGAAATGTAGTCATAGAAATCAAATTTTCATTGACTAATCTATATTTTTAATAGAATATTGTGGTGCCCAGCGACTGGGAATTCCTTAAATATTAGGGATTGTATGAGACATTTCTGATAATTCCTTGAAAAATTTGTTTATATAACACTTTAGGTAATTTTGTAAATATAATTTGATGAAATCATGAGCTTATAAAAAATCGAAGTCTAAGGCTGGAATTATGATCAATATGATGTTGGAAATACATAAAACTTATGCTCTCTCATTGGCCAGCATAAAGATCTTATGTTATATCATTCATCAGGACACTAAAGTTTGTTAAATTCTTTCTTTTAATTGTCTATAAATTATCAATATTGTCACTATTGATGTTCTCCCACTATGCTTAGTAGAATCAGTTTTATATATATGGTTTGCATTCAAGTCGTGTTTCCATGATGACAGTTACTGCGGATGTTTTAGCCATGGCAGCAACTACTATAACCAATTCCATTCTGTAAACTGTGTGAGAGTAGGACATTTATCATTGTCAGCTACATATATTGTTATGCTAACTACTACATGTAAACGCCATTAGTGAACTGTCACATCGTATTTGGTTTAGTTAACCAGAACATAATTGTGCATGAAAATATTATTCTCTTATATGGTTGCGTTCCAGTTATTTCTGAACTTAGAATTGATTCTATCCAACGTTTTTATTTGTTCTATGCATTTCTTTAATCTTGGTATATAGATTTATTTTTATTAATTTAATTTATATTAAATTGGTCATTGAAATTGATTGTCTAGATTCTTTGCTTTGTTTTTTAATATATAAACGAGTTGCTTTTGTTAAAATAATTGTGACATCAGCGGTTATGTACTTGTAAGATTTACTGTCAGTTTTTAGATAGGTGTACCTACTATTGCTGTCTCATTGTCTTGAAAAATATATTACATCAGAAATTTCACCATGTGAATGAAACTTTATTTTATGCAGGTCAATACTCAAATTAACTTTTCATATAATAAAATAAAAAGTTTAATATGAGCAATGGTTGAGATAATAGCTTGATGCTAGCAGCTGTACTCATTTGTAATGGCTTGACTTATCATACATAACACCAACATTGTTTTATTTTTCTTGTGTGAAAATGTGATAATACAGGGGAAATGAACAGGAATTTCATTGGAGAGAAGCACTGGACACCTAAACCTTATCTTTTCATGACAGTAGTTATGCTCCAATATCAAGAACATGATTTTCCTAGTATGAATGTTACTCCTAACCAATAGTTTAGGTATTATCGATTTAAAGTCCTACAATTTTCAGAGTAACCTCACTTTTTCTCAATTACTTTGTTATTCCATTGGGATTCAAATTTATTTTAAAACATATAAATCAATTAGGCCTTAATCCATTTCATACTTCAAATTAAGTTTAGATCAGAGTATACATATTTTCCAAGTGTGCCCTCTTATCAAGTCCACCAAATATTATGAGCAAAATATGTGCTCCAAACATTAGAACGCTGAGGCAGAGTACATGCTTAGTTCTGTTTCCTGGTAATATTATTTTGCTTATTTTACATTTATATTTTTATGTGATTATATTTTCTATACAGCTAAGAATTGAAAAAGAACACAATGCAAATCTTAAAAAAGGCAATCGAGAACTTGGGGAAAGAATTGATGAATTAACAAATAAACTTAAAGAACAAGCTGATAAAGAAGATAGGATTGTTGACAATTTTCAACAAGAAATAAGAGCCCAGACCAAACTCGCTGATGTTTATAAAGGTATATTCTTTGTCAATTATAATCCATTGTTGTGTCTTATTTAGTATAGTGAAACCTTTCTACATTGAATAGCTGCAGTTCTGGTGCAATTGTCTGTTGCAGAAGAGTGTTTGTTGAAAAGGTGTATCAAAAAATGAATATGTACCTGCATGTATTAAAACAACTTCATTAATTTGAATGGATGAATTTTATTTTAAATTATTTGATTAGCTAACTGTAAAGTTATTTTTAATTTTTTTTTATTGATAGTTATTATTTTCAATTTTTCTTTTTTTGTAAGGAAGTACATTCATTCTTAACATGTTATAAAAAAAAAAAAAAGACAAGTATATTGATTCAATTTTAGTAAAAGATGAATTCTTTCAAAACTGATGAGATGAAGATAACTAATTGTAATTGGTAAATGGTAGACTGTCGTGGATAATGAAGAGAAGAATAGTTGGGGTGGTCAGTCAAAAAAGAAGGCAAAAATAAATGATAATATTTATTTTTACATATGCCGACGTTTCGACCTGAAGTTCAGGCCTTCATCAGGGCTAAGAAAATAACCAGATAACAAGGTATGAGAAACATAAGTAGTGATGGTAAAATAAAATTTATTTTTGCCTTCTTTTTTGACTGACCACCCCAACTATTCTTCTCTTCATTAACTAATTGTAATGTGGTATATTATTTTATTTAAAATTGCACCTTCATTACACTCTTCAGAATAAATCTTTTATTATACTGGAAATGCTGCATAAATGCTGTTATAGATTTAGATTCTATTAATTGAAAACAGGTAACTTCAAAACATGTACTTATTTAAATTAAAATATATCAGTAAACATTTTCTAATTTTCAACATTCAGGGAGAATTGCGCAAATTTATCTTTCTGTGACAAAAATTTGATCTCTCCATCCAGTGGAGGGATATCCATTACATAGAGGAAAAAAATTTCTTTACTAACAATTTGGGATATTTAAAAATTTTCTGTTAGAAGGGGTATTTGTTCCACTGAGGTTTCACTGTATTATTATTTACTTATGAATGCTATTCGCATGGTAAGTTTTATATCATTATATTATATTTCCAGAAAGATTACAAGATTCTGAAAGTCGTGCCGGGGAGTTGAGCACTGCCGTCAGGGAACTGCAGAAGCTCCTTAGTGAAGCTTCAACTCAGTACGGTGAACTAGAAACAAAGCTGAAAGTGATGGAAGTGGAGCACAAGGAAGCAATGGAAGCAAAGCAAGAGACTCTCTTAGCACTGAAAGAGGAACTTGCTCATGCCAACATTCTCTTGGAAGCAGTTAAGCAAGGTATTCCTAAAATTTTAAATGTAGTTTAAAGAAAGTCAATTTCTATAAATAATAATCAAAGAGCTTTTTCATCTCACCTTAAGCTGATAATAAGGATTATGTTTTTCTAGTTAGTTTCAATTTTATACCATTAATTGAGAATGTTTATCTCCTCCATTGTATTTATCCTGCTTAGCAGTATATAAATTTATGAGAGTGAATTTAATATGAATGAGGACTTGACTGTTTTCTTCTAGGGTCAGTAAAAAGAGGAAAAACGACAGTAATTCGGTTGTTAGGGCAAATATTAGGACTGTATGTTTTACATGTATATGGGTACATGCATCTCAAGGTATCGCATCACTAAGTGTAGTAGTAGTAATTAGTTGAGCTATACAACTGGTTAGAAAGGCTTTTTACATGTCATATGCAGCTCCCGTTGCATTAGTCTTACTATACTCTACTGGTTAACTAATCCATTCCTTGCATTCAAAACCTAGATTCCTTGTGTGATAGCTATTTCTTACCCTAGCTAAAAGTAAAATAGGATCCAAATGGGGAAGGGAACTTAGCCTTTGGAAAGAAAGTGTTACTGCACATAGTAGTCATTAACAGATATCCTCTAGTAAAAAGGCTCTGGTCTTATAGGTTATTGTCTTATTTTTATCACTTAGCATTCTTAAGTGGTGATATAAAAAAAAAAAAGAAAATGATCTATTTATTTAATCTAATTTTTTTGCTTCCCTTTTTGATTATTTTTTTTCCCCTAGGCAGGAGAGAGGGCGGGGGATTAATCTTTGTTTAAACACACACTGATTAATCAGAGAACTTGTTATCTTTGATTTATAAAGTTTCTGTGCAACATGTGTCTTGCACACCCGTTAGCCCACTCCTCCTCCCTGCCCTCTAAATCTCCTCCTTGCCTACTGCATATAAGTTTGAGAATCCCTTCAGTCGAGCCGTCCTCTCCTTTCCCATTTCAACTCTCTTCTATCTAAGGCCTCCAGGATTGCATAATATTTTTATTTTTGATCATTGATAATAAAGTGTCCTCAATTCAGGAGCTCAATACTTAAAATTTCTTCTGACAGCTCTCATCGTATTATTAACCTGAAGGAAAAAATTTCTTTTGATTTTTTAAAACTAATTGGCCTTATAAAACCCCTATTCAACAAATCTGAAGCTTCTATGATGGCAAATTAAACATTAAAATTCTAAAGTACAAAAAAATACGTTAATAGAACAGAATAGAAAATAATTTTATTCTGGGACGAAGTCTGATCGTAATCAGGTTGAATTGATATTGTCATGTAGAAGTTTATTCAAATCAAAATATTCCTTTATTAATATTTTCTTATTTTAAGTGGAGTATGAAATAAAAAATATATAATCATGTTAGTAAAAATTAATATCAATTTTTCTTTATCTATTTTTAAATTTAATTTTAATAAAACCAAATTTATTGAACCATTTGTACTTATGAACGGAAAATTTTTATTTATTTTTTTTGATAAAAAATTTTAGTTTAAAAAATATATGCTGTTCAAAAAATCAATATTAGTTTAATTTTCTTGTTTCTATATATATTTTTGCAAAGTGATTAGAATTTTTTTTATTATCCTAATCTTGTTAATTAAAATGGCAAATGTTGCTTTACCAAATTCACTACCAATAAATATTTTAAAGGAAGCATATTGTATTAAAGGCATTTTTTTTTCTTTTAACTGTTAGGCTGATTAATGGAATAGTAATTGATTGTTTATATCAGCTGTTTTATTGACTCGCTTTTGTTCCTCAATATTATTTATACTAAACTTCTCATTGTCTTGTGTTATTATTTCCCTGAATTTCTCATTGTATTTTACTGATTTTTTTACTTATTGTTGTAACAATTAATTTTTTATAATATCCAGAATCATCTGAAGCTGCAGTTAGTCGCTTGTCACCAATGGCTGCTTCTGCTTCAAAATTAATGAAATCCGGACTTACTCTGACGCAGCTTTACACTAAGTATGCCGAAGTCACTCAAGATCTTCTTGTCGAACGTCAGGAGAAAAATAGGCTAAAAGAATATACTGATAGAATAATAAAGGTAATTTTATGAATTATTAGTAACCGCATTATTATTAGTGGTCAAATAATCAATAAATGATACTTTCCTGTAAAGAGGCATGGAATATCTTCAGTGTAAGATGAAAAAAAAATCTGCAATTCTTGAATTCAAAAAAATCTTGAAGCGTTTATAAACCAGCTGTTTTTAAGGTTAAATTTCTTTATCAAGTTCTTAAAGAAACTTACTTTGATAAGAAACTAATCATGTAAACAGGTTTTTTTTTGTCCCAATATCAAATTGTTTCAACATGTAGGAATTTTGTTCCTATAGAAATGTAGAAATGATCTTCATGGTCATAGATGACATAAAGCATTGGCTCATTTGTGTGTTTTCTATTTCAAATCAAAATGTCTAGATAGACCTAAGATCAATTTTTAAAATTAATTGAGGTTATAACAAACCGCAATGATTTCTAAAGTTAAGTGGCAAAGTAAATTGGATCTAAAATAAATTTATATATGTTTATATAGGTTTCAATTCAGTTTTAAAATATTTTTCTCAATTTCTTAACAAAAGATATTAATTATTTTGTATGTGAAGTGTGGATTTTTATCTTTATCACTTATAATTAACGAAATGTCTGAACAAGATTAATTATAAAATTATTATGAAATACCAGTAAAACTGGACTTAAAGCATACCAGGTTGATTTCAATGTAAAGTAACTCCCCAAGCTCAACCCTTGGTAATTTAAAATGTACTGGCAATTACAATTTTCTTATCATAACTTTAATCAAGAAACCTAACTGTTTAAACTGAATAATGTGTTTCAGGAAATAGAGGAAAGAGCTCCAATCTTGCAGAAACAGCGAGAAGATTACAACTATGCTATTACCACTATGGAAAGCCTTACTATAAAAGTTGATGAGCTCGAGAATGAGCTAGCCAAACTCGCTAGATCCAGAGAAGAGGCACAGCAGACGGCTGAGTTCCAGGTTAGGGAGAATAGAAGGTTAAATGGATGTTGTGCTGATCTCAGTCGTCAGGTATTTGAATTTAAGAACTAAATTAATTTATTAATAATTTGTTAGTTATTATTTTTTATTGTTGTTTTAACTTGATCTAATATTTAATTAATTGAAATACTTAAATCTATCAAATATTATTACTTTATGAGCCTGTTCTTTTTTAAATGTTTTAAAATAGATAACACATGAAAATTTAATTGAAAAGGTAGTAATAAATTTGCTAAATGAGTATTAAAATTTGTTTTTCTATGTTATAGGTGTGCTATTTGTTAAGGGAACTTGAAGCTGCAAGAGGCAATATGATTCCTTTGCATGAGATTCCTGATAATCTAGCCGCTGATGTAAAGACATCAGCAGAGGTATAATTTAATAAATCCTTAGGATTATATTGTTTTAGTTAATTTTCAATATTTATCACCATTGATATTTTCAGGTTATTTCAAAACATTTAGTTACTTTCCGAGATATTGAGGAATTGCAGTTGACTAATTTGAAACTCCGGGCTGCATTAAGAGAGATGAGTGCAGAAAAAGAAGAAGTTGAAGTCGAAAGAGAAAGTGTTACTGTTAAATCATTGAGGGTATATTGTTTTTTAGATTTTGCTAGCTATATTTTATATTTATTTGCATAATAAAAAAGTTATTTTGTTAATAATGATAATTTTCATCATAAGTAAATCATTATTCATTGCTCTAATAAATGTTTATTTTAATTAAAAATGTCATTACGATTTAAATCTTGCCTTGATCAGAAAGTAATTTCATAAAAAATAAATAAGATGCTTTATTTTGTTATTGTTTAATACCTCCAACAATAAGAATGAATTCTTGAAATTTAGAGTAGTTAACAATAATGGAAGAATAGTTCGTTAAATTTACATAGACATTAGATATATTTTTTGTTTATTTCTTTATGGCCTTTGGTCTTTTGATTAATAAGTATTTTTTGGTTCTAAATTTTAAAATTTCAATGACCGCAGGTATGAAAACATCCATAAATTTATTTTTGTCAACCCAATATATAACTTAAAATCAGTTTAAATAAGCATTATAAACATTGTTTATATTATAAGTCAGTTCTCATAATAGAGTGTATAAAAAAAAAAATGACCGTTTTCCAACCAAATATTTTTATTATTATTTTGTTAGTATAAAATACAATTAATACTCAAAGTAAAGTCCATTGTTATCTACCGTCATTAGCCAATTGCTCAATCCCATGCTGGTTCGATTCTTTGGGATGGCTGTTGAAAAACTCTCCGCAAAATTATCAAATTTTTTCCCTTGAACAAAATGGAGCATGGATCTAAATAAGTAGTAATCCGATGATGCGAGATCTGGAGGACTGTATGGTGGATGAGGCAGAAGTTCGAACTCATGAAGTTCTTTAAACTTTTCTTTGGTTTGACGGGAAGTATGAGGACGAGCATTATCTTGGAATAAAATTCCCTTTTGGTTGATCAAAGCAAGATAAAGCTCAGACAAGTTCGCATATAATCTTTCCAATTGTTTGCAGGAGAGTTCTGAATTCATAGAGCATCACTCCTACGGAGTTATTCATGAATAACTCCTTCAAAATTCCAAAAAACGGGAAGCATGGATTTTTTTCAAATTACCCCGTTGTAGCAACCGTAAAAGCAGTTTGACCGCGATCTAGCTATTGCTCACGGGTATTCAGATTTCGCCAGTAAACCCACTTTTCATCGCAGGTAACAATCTTCCAGTGAAATCTCATATTAGAAGGGTTTTTCAATAAATTTCTTATCTCTTAGCTGATTGCTGAGAAGTAAATTTGTAAGGGACCAGTCTACTGCTCATTTTCAGCTTTTCCATGGAGAGTAGATGGTGACTAACAGTATTTTTTGACACACCACATTCCCTGTCAAGTTCACAAGTACTTCTGAACAGACTTGACTCAATATTTTTCTTCAGAACCTCATCAATATCCATTAATGGTCGTCCAGAGCCCTTCCTTTCCAACCTCATATCTCCACTGCTTAGCTTTTCAAACAAACCCCGCCCAGTGCGCTGATGAAGGACACTTCCTTCATATTTAATAATTTCACGAGTTGCTTCAGCAGCTGTGAAATTTTTTTTCCAGTAATGCCTTAAAATTACGAGAATTTAGTAGGACACTGTCATATTTATTCTTTGAAACAAATCACTAAACTGAGGCTTTTTTTGAAGAACTCGAATGGGATTAAACAAGCTCAGAGAATGCTCTAAAGGGATTATTAAGTATTGGTAAGTATTAAATAGAATTAAAATATTTACAGTCCTTTGAAATCTTGAATTTGATAAAACAGTCATTTTTTTTATATACCCATTACATCACTTACATAAAGATTGCTTGCTTCAGTAGCATGTTGATTTTTTAATATATTTAATGTTATTGCGGAACTAATTTTTTTTTTTATGATAGGGTGATATAAATCGAGCTCAAAGCAAAATAGATGAACTGAATGAAAGAGAAAATATCTTGCAAAAGGAAATAGAAATAGTGAAAAGCCAAAGAGATGTTTATGCTCGACTATACAAGCAACATGTTAAAACTATTGGATCAAATGGAGAACAAGAGGTACAAATATTACAAATCTTATCTTTATATTATGCATTTCTGTTATAAAAGCTATAAATATATCTCTGATTTAGGTTGAGATGGATACTGGTCCCCTTGATGCTGATCAAAATGTAATCTCTTCGATAAAATCTGACAGATCAACATCACCTGCAATGTCCCCAACATCTGTTAAGAAACAGGTATGATCTTTTTCATAATTTCCTAGCAGCAATATAGAAAACGAATTTCTAGATTATTGTTATTTGTTTAGGTTTCTGATAGTGAAATAAATACTGTTCGGGCAATACTTGAAGAATTAAAGAAAGAACATGCTCGTTATAGAGAAGAAAGAAAAGAAAATGAAAAATTAATGGCTGAAACCATTGATAAGCTTAGAACAGAACTTAGTGAAAGCATGGGCAAGAGAAGTGAGCTAGCATCAAGAGCTGAGCACTATCAGGAGGTAGGTCTATATTTCATTTCGAAATTATCTCAAAATATTCAAGATGACTTTAATCATCTTATAGGTATTAAACACATGTTAATAAATTTTGTTGTATGATTTTGTGTTAAGAAAATTTACAAATGAGAATATCTAAAATATTGGTATGTTTCTTAGTTTGTCCCTCTCCTCCAAACTAATGATTGCAGATTTCCTCATTTATGGATTGCAAATCTTGCCTTTTAAGGTCAAGCAAGCTAATTAGTTTTTGAAATTGTCCACATTCCCAAACTTTACAGAAGCACCTCATTCCTGATTCTAATAATTGATTACCTTAATTGGTGGCCTAAGATTTCATTCACATCATCACAAGAGATGATATGTTCTTAATCTATTGCAACTTTATCAAATTTACTTAGGTCTTGGTTATGATGCAGTACGAATGATTGTAAACCTTTTTACTTTTTATGTAATTTTATAGTATATGATAATATTTATATTTTTCTGAAGGACTAGACATCCGAATGGCCTCATATCTGTACATGAACTAAATTGATCTTTCTATCAAAAATCGTATCACCATTATTAATTATAATATAAGATGGCATTGAAAAATGTGTTTTTTTTTTTGTTTTTTTTTTATACGTCTCCTTAGTAGTGAAAAATGATCACAAAAACTTTAGATGATTTGTATTTTAAAACAGTCCTTATGTTGTATTTTGCAGATATGAATTTGTATTCATCAATTATCTATCATCATATATCAGGTTTTAGGAATGTTTAGTTGCAGGCCTAATCTTTAAAAAAATAAATAAATAAATAAGTTGAAGATTGTATTTTATTAGTAAATAATATTTTGTTTGTTATCTCCTAAGTGAACATCTGTATTTATCTTTCTTTAGATCTCAAAGACATTGCAAAGCCGTGTTCAGAAGTTGAATGAGGAAAATACTGCTTTGGAAAAACGTTGCAATACTTACCTTGCTTCTATATCAAAACATGAATTGACAATCCATCAACTGAGAAATGTAAGCATTATAGTATTTTTATTAATGATTTTAAGCTTGCTCAGATTTATTTGGTGTTTTTCATTATAATAGGGCATTGTAAACATGCCTGTTAGTACTAAATATTTTGTTCATACCAAGTTGGTTTTGTTATTAGGAAGCTATGGATGCAATGAATAATGTTACCGTAGCGGAACAAAAGGTAAACAACCTTCAACAAGAAATTCAAATGCTCAAAGACAGTGAGAGGCGTCTCTTAAGAGAACGTGATTCTGAAAGAAAGATCAAACATGGCCAGGTAATAGAAAATTAATTTTATTATCCTACTTCTTTGTATTCACAGATCTAATATTATTTAATGATTTTATTTGCTAATTTTTGTGAATCATGATCATGTATGTTATAGGAACTATTGATGTCTAATTTAGAAGCATTGAAAGCTAAATTTGAGTGTTCTGAAGCCGAATCAAAAATGAGACTTGAGTCGAGATTAGAAGAAGCTCATTTAGAATGTTCTGCTCTCCGTAGAAGGCTACAGGTAAAATGATTGAATAATGTTCAGAAAAAATATTCAAACATCTTCCCATTTAGTATCTATTATTTCACATGAAGATCGTGTATTATGCATGATGATGTTTTAATCTAATTACAGTTGACAGCCGCAAATACATTTTTTATAGACAAAAACATATCTACTTACAGACTTAATTTTTATTGATCAATTATATCCGTCATGGATTTCTCTCAACAAGCACTTCTTCTTCTTATTCTGTATTAGATGACATTGTTTAAGAGAAGTGAGAGTATATACTGTCCAATTTACAATATCATAAATGTTTAAGAAACTGTATCCCCTCCCTGTGCCCTTCCCAAAAATTTATTGTTAATAGAAATAATGATCTCGTAAGACGGATAGGAAGGCCGAGGACGAGATGGTTGGACAACGTGGCCTATGATGCGAGAACCCTGCTTGGTGTACGGAACTGGAGAGCTGCAGCAGAAGACAGAGCCAACTGGCGGAGGCTTTTGGAGGAGGCCCAGTCTCGGTAACGGGATGTCGTGCCAAATATGATGATGATGATGAAATAATGATGCAAAATTCAAATAATTATAAAGTTTCTGAATTTATTTCAAAACTTAAAATAATTTTATTTGAAGTGATTCCAAATTTTTCAAGTTTTGCATTTGTACTCCTTTTACATTCTACAGATATGGTATAAGGCAGTATACCATTTCTCTGCAGCCCTAAGGTTTTGTTTCTTCTTCTTATTCTGTGTACTTCCTTATATGACTAGGTCAGGAACTAAAATGAACAATTTGGTAGTCCTCCTCAGGCCCTCTAGGCTTCCGTATAGTTTCCTTTCCAATTCAGTCGGAGAGGGCCAGATCACCTTCCTTTCCTGGGTGTAGGCCATACACGTTTGTACGATAGTTTCACATTCTGTACACCCTCACCGCACTCGCAGAGCGGACTAGAGCCAATTTTGAACTTACTGAATAGGTGAGCTTTTTTGAATCTGTTGTGTCCAGTTCGTAAGCGAAAGATCAAGACCTGATCTCGTTGAGTTAGTACATAGATCGCATCTCTGTGGTCGTGAAGTGGAGACTTCTGAGCCAACATTGGTTAATAATCGCTTTATTGATTGTTTTTCCCTCGTCTAGGCTGATCATGCAATCAAATTGCGGACTCAAGGCCCCCTCCTTTGCCAGCTGGTCTGCCCTTTCGTTTATATAGATGCCACAGTGTCCAGGAAGCCATTGCAGAACAACTTTCTTGTGAAGGGACATCAAGTCTTCAAGATCTTTGGCAAGTTTTATCATGCTTTTGCTCCACTTCAATCTGAGTGATTGTAATACTGTCAATAAGGAATACAATTTTTGAGTTTTTAGGTCTCCTTAGTATTCTTATTAGTTTCGATGACTCACAGATAGCTTCTTGCTCTGCCTGATAATAGAAGTGATACCTGTTAGAACAGCCTTCTCAATAATATTCTCCGCAGGAAATTGTAAATGGATACCAGCCCCATCGTTCATAGTTGCATTTGTGGCCAATCCGTCTGTATATACTCGAATCCACGAGTCTTTCAGGTATTTTTTAGGTTTTGTTTTATTGAATTAGCTACTATGACTTCTATTAAATTTTTCATAATGGTGTGTAATATAATTTACGGTCATTATTCATGTCATCTTGCTACAAAATCAAAGATCAGGTGTATTTTTGTATTCATATTTTTTTATCTTTCTTGTTTACTACATCTCTGAGGTAAATTGAATTTGTTGAGACTAGTTTAAAAAAAAGCAAATAAACTAAAATACTTCTGTGAAAAGAAATATCCAACAATTATATTTTGTAATTTGAATAAAACCCTTTAAATTGTTTATGCCATTTCTTATATCAAGTGACTTAACTCTAATTTCAACAGTTTTCAGGAAAATATTTTTAATAATATTTTTTTATTTTATTTTTCACCAGCATGATGAAAATGTTAGTAACTCATAAATTATTGTTATTATTTCTTTAAAAAATAGGTGAAATTTTGCTATGAGAAATATTTTTAAAAGTATTTGACTGAAAAATGTTGAAGTGGTAGTTGGCCATTCTGTCAACTGACATATTACTACTACATATTTGTTCATCTTACAGGAAGAACAAGATAGGCTAGGAAGACGAGCTGAACTAGCTGAAGAACAGGCCAAAACAGCCAAGATACGCTTGGAAGAAGTGAAAGCAGAAAGTGCACGATTACAAAAAGAATTGGATGAAGCTAGGGAGGAAGTGAAAGAAAGGGAGGCCAGGCTGGAATCGATGTCTACCGAGTTGACTTCTGCCATTACAAAGAGTCAACCAATTCTTGACAGAGGTTCATGACCATTTAGTTTTATTGTCTAAATACTTGTAATAATGTTATATTTATTTTTAAGGATATTTCATTTTTATTGTTTATATTGGAATCATATTTAGAACTTATTTAGAAAGTATTATTTTTATGCTTTGAAATATGATCATTTTTGTTTTTTTTTCTTTCAGAAAATCGAATTAAAGAACTTGAAGCAGCTGTAAGGGAAAGAGAAGCAGATGTAGCAGGATTGAATGAACAGTTGGCTGTTGCCAAGAGGACTATCAATGATCTTTCTGAAGTTTCACAGAGTATTGAAAAGCAATTGGCTGAAGTTACCGAGCAGTATGAAGAGTATAAGAAGGAATCCGAAACAAGGTATCATTTCTCTTTCCATCATCAAAGAGTTTATAATTTTATTTTTTGTGATGCTGTTTTTATATATATATTTTTCAAATTATAGCATTAATGAACTGAAAAAATCTGAGACAGAATTGAAGGCACTAGTTAGTCAACTGGAAATGAAACTCAAAACTTCTAGTGCTGCCGAGGCAGAAATGCGAGCAGAACGTGAAGCTGAACTAGCATCTTTGAGATCACGTTGTGATAACTTGGGCAAATCATTAGAGGAAGCCAAAGTCCGTGTGACTGAGGCTGAGGCTACTGCAAGTTCAGCCGAAGCAACAGCAAAAGAACAAGCTGAAAGGGTAGCCTCAGAAGCTACTCATGCTTCTCAGCTCATTCAGGTATGATGGATTAGCTTTTAAGGATGGTTCTTATGAATTAGTTATATTAGCCTTAAGGGTCATCATATGCTCTTTCTTAATGTACCTTGATAGCTTTTATAAATCTCCAAGTTAGTCAACAAATTTTTTGGTTGGCTTAGTTGAGAATTTGTAATACCTAGAGGAGGAAAATTATTAAATATTTATTAGTTATGTTAGTTGTGAAAATATATCTGTCAGGCTGCTTATGATAACCGTTAATAGATTTGTGTCTGATTATGTCAGAAACTTCTAGAAACAGCTTGCAGTATATCTGTTTTGCCTTATGTATATAACCATTAACATCAAGCTTGGTGTATGCCATGGCTTGATAATATACCATTACAAAAATGGTATGAAGATTTTATCTTTGTTTGGTTCGCCCAATAGATCCATTTTGGTCCTGAATAAGGTTATTGTAAATTGTTATTTTAGATTTCAATTGTAACTTTTTATTGAATTATCTAATCAGTTATCATAATTGAATGAAAACCATTAAATGATATTGATATAGTATGCACTGAAAGAGCATTGACATTACAGTTAAAAATTATCTCTGTGGCATATGCCTCAAGTATAATTTAAGATTTATATTTTTCTCCTGATTGATTTGATTTGATCTATATGTAACATTTCTATTTTAATTGTCTTTTTAGGAACTTGAAACAGTGAAAAATGAACTATCTGAAGCCAAAGCTAAAATTTTAACTGTTGAAGCAGAAAAAGAAAGATCAGTTTCCGCAGCTAACTTGGAATTGAGCTCATATACAGAAAAACAATCTAAAATGGAACACCAAATTAAAGAATTAGAAGAAAAGACCATAGAACTTAACAAAGTCAATGATTTATTACATGATCAGCTTCAAGAGCTGGGATTAAAAGTATCTGTTATGGATACTTCATTATCGGTAAATACTCTTTTTTGTTTATACTTACTATAATTATTTGGAGGGTTGTAAAAGTTATAGAATTTTATTCAAAATGCTGAAAGTCAGGGAATTTTATAAGCTAAAGGACGCTTCAGACTTTACTTTTTTCTAATCTCAAAAAGGCTGTTTTGATAATTTTATTATTATGCTAAAGAGAGACAGTTTTATTTTTGTTAGACATCTCGCAAACCTATATACGTCAGTCTAGTGATAAAAGTCATTAAGTGTTATTTTATAATCTTTAATCAATAAGAACTGTGATGAATTTTCCCATTTCGAAATCAGAACATTGTGCTCTTGTTGTAAACTATACGATACATAAAAGGGTTTTTTTCATTATAGTACGCTTACTATGTTTTTTTATTGATTAATAAGGTCGAAATTTACAAAAACGTTCTTACTAGTTCAGTTCCATCAAAAATTTACTTAATGACTTGCAATAAACCGGCACTATCGTAAAAAAATTATAATTTTTTTAATATTACCTTCAGTGTTATGAGTTACAGTATTTAAAATGTTGAATGTTGTTCCAATCATGAAACATTATAATTAATAAAGATCAATAAAGTCCTATTGGATAAGTCGGAATTTTATAATAAGGTTTGTTAAGTTAGGCACTTTGTAGGAGGATTTGAACCATACAGTTTCATTGTAAGTTCTTTGATTGTTTCCAGACCAGTCTTGATTCATCTTCAGCTGCTAATGAATCATTGGTAAGCGATTCATTCCGTGAATCTGATAAGTTTCTAGAAGTCATGAGGCATTTGAGAAAAGAAAAAATGTCAGCACTATCACAGGCAGATGCTCTGAGAGGAGATAAGCTTCGTCTGGAAGCTGAGGTATGTTAAAATCATTTATTTATTTATTTGTTAGTTTTAAATCATCTTTTTTGCTAATATCCAATGTATATATTTATTTTCTGTTTTTACTTCTTATCTATTTTTTTTTTGTTAGCATTATGACCTGTTTAGCCCTGTAACCCTGTTGTTTGCTGTTCAGTTAAACTGCTGAAAGGCAGTTCTATAACATTAGCTAAACTCTATATGCTCCTTAGATTTTATTAATACTATGTTCGGCTTTTATACTCATGATAGGTCTAGTAGAGCAATATATGATTGGTAGTGGTGTGTGTGTTTGTATTGAATATGTAGAGTTAGTCATATTCAGTGGTTCCTGAAACTGCACTGTCTACCAGTTATTTAATTAAATCAACACTTAATTAATGTTCTTATTACTTATTAGAAAGTCCTAATCCAATTACCAGCCAAATTAGTGGACAGTTTCTCATTATTCTGTCTTCTAATATTCGACCCTCACACTCTGGTAGTTGATCTTTTCAGTGTTGGGTTTCCCTCTACCTATAGTGAAGGGAGTATGTTATAGAAGTTTATCTTTTTTTCTATCCTTATCTTACTTGGAGGATTACTCGGAGTAGATTCTCCAGTCCATACTACCTCCTGATGCTCAAAAAGCTGATTTTTATTATGTGAAGTAGTCTTTACCTAATGCCAAGCCGAAAGACTAATCTCTTCTTTCACTGTCCTTTCTGATTCAAGTATATTATTTGTTATAGTATGTACGTTGATCCTCAGCCTCTATTCTTTGCTTCTATCTAAGCCCAAACCTACTCACATAATGATAAAGAGAAAGTAGTCAAGAACAAGATTACAATCTCTCTCTTTTTTTCTTTATCAATTTTATATCATTGTTAGATATTTTTATTTGACAACTGTAATAAAAATAAAAATGTTTTTAGCTGGTTTCTAAAGCATGTTTCAGTTTATGTAAATCAACCAAAATTTTTACAGGTTGAAGTTCTTAGAAGGCAGTTGGAAGAATCTAAAAAATTACTTGAAGAAGAACGAAGCTCTAGTGATACTCCTTCTATCACTGCTGAACGACATGCTCAGTTATTGTCTAAGGTAATAAATAAATAAGTAGTTTTCAAGAATTATAATGTTGTTATTATCATTGATTATATTTGTAATCAATCTTCAAAATTTAAATATTAAAAATAAAATATCATGAAAAAAAAACCATCTAATTTGAGCAGCTTCTGATCAAAAGTGGACATCTCCACTTTGACTGAAACTAAGATTTTGACAAGATCTGGTAGTTTCCAAAAGCTGTACTTAAAACTAACTCCACTTCTATAATAAATGTTTTTTCTACATGAAATAATGAGAAAGAATTTTTCTGTAAGCTAACTGAACATTATTAATTTGGGAAAAAAATCAGGTTATGCTGTCATTTTTCAAACAAAATTGGACATGTAGATATCTTATTGTGATTGGCTTATTTGTTGATATTAATCATCATTATTTATTTGTAACATTAAAGCTGCTAACGAATGTTAAACAATATTAACTTGAACATTGAGTTTGTCTTTGTTATATTCTGCATTTATGGTTTGCCATAAATAAATCCTATTTTAGTAATTTAAATATTACTTTAAAAAGTTTTAATAAACATAGTATTGTAACTTTGCATTTTTATACATATTTTTTGATTTTTTTTTTACTGTAATGTTGTTTCTTAATCCTTCAAAAATGTTCAATTTTATGTAAAGTGTCATCTTTTAATGTGTTTTTACTGTCCCTTTGAGTTTATAACATTTTTCTGTTAATATTTCAGGTAGAAACATTGAATCAGTTGACAGAAAATAATCGAGTGTTAAATGAGGAGCGAGATAGGTTGATGGATAGGCTTAAGATAGCCGAGGCTGAGGTTACTCGTCTTGAAAAAGATGTTGTAGAGCCTGCGAAGAAAGAATCTGCTGAGAGTAGTGCACTCGCTGAGCGATACTCCACAGAAGCTGCTGCTCTTAGAGCAGAATCTCAAAGGTATGATATGATAATGAAATATTATTTATTTAAAAATTATGTTAATTTCAATAATTTCCTTTGATTAGTATGCAAATTAATACTGAAAGTTTGACTTTTAATATATTTTTAAATGTATTAAAAGACCAAAAGTGTGTGGTATTTTGAAAAAATTAGTTCTTCACAATAACTTACTATGAGTCAATACTATGATACCTATTAAAGTTTTATAAAGCCAAATATCTTGCTGTTTTTTTTTTTTTTTTTTTTTGGTGTAAATAATAAAAAATAATTGTTTATTACAGTTACTATATTTTTTAGCAATGTAATAGTTAAGGAAATTCATATTTCTACTAAATCAAACTGACAGTCATAACTAGTCTTAATTTAATTTCTCAGTTAGAAATTAATAAAATTTGAGACATTTATTAGTGCTTTTTCACAATCGATTCTTTCTTATAGATATCGTTGGCACCATGTTAAAGTAAGGAATGTGAAAAATTATATTTTTCAATTTCATTTACTTAACATAGTACTCCAAGACCCACGTTGTGGCTAAATGTCGAATTTACATGGCCACTGGAAGAGTGAAATCAGAAATGTCAATATCTATTTTAATATCTCTCTTATATTTTTTAACTACTAATAAATCTCTTGGAAGATCACTCTATACTATAGCGTTACTTCCAAAAGAAATAAGACGTTAAATAATGAACAAAATTATAAGAGTATTAATGTATTAAACTGAAATTACAATTATTCTATCTCAGGTATGGGTTACTGACAATCAGATCAAAATACACAGAGAAACTATTATTATTTACTCTATTTATACTAAAATAAACACCGATTTTAAAATTAAGTCAAGTATGGATTGGCAAGCTAACTTTTTTTCTTTATATACTGTTTCTTCCTTTGTTGCACTAAATTCATTTATGTTCTAACATTTTCCTATGTTCTGCCAAACACATCTTCCAAAATGTTGACACTTTCTTCTACTCAACTCAAGTTCCCTGGGAGATCCTCTCTCTTATAATTCCAAACAACTAGTCTCCCTGCCAAACAGCAACTTCCAAGATGTTAACACTATTACTGGGTTTTACCCACTTAAGCCAGGATCCCTTCTCCCATCCTCTCTTCACCCCAGCCAAACACCATCTATCTATCTAAGTGGCGCTACAACCCTGGGTGTGTCTTGGCCTCCTCAATGAGCTGCCGCCATCCAGGCCCGATTTCGTGCTGCCGCTTTCCAGCTAGCCAAACACCAACTGCTTGCCAAAACAAAATCCTTTGTCTGCCCCCTCTGCTCAATGGGATTTTCCTTTCTGGAGAAACTACAGAGCAGCTATTTTCTTTTTCCTGAACTAGTGAAACTAGATTAGCTTGCTTTTTAACTGTTACATTAATTTATTAAATCATTCAATAAATTAATATATAATATAAATGTAGTAATGAATCATCATAATCGAAAGTTTACATTGAGCAGATTCTCTCATTCGTGGCGACAATATGATCTGAGGAAATACTTAATTATATTATAAAATGTTTAGGAGTTGTAGGTATATTAAAACATTTCAAATCTCATTTCCAGATGGCAAGAACGTGCCAATCAGTTAATTGAGAGAACGAATAAGAATCCAGATGAAATTAAGAGGCTGACACTTGAGAAAGAAAATCTAACAAGACAACTTGGTACCGAAAGGGAACAAGCCAAAGCAGCCAAATTGAAACTTGAAGAGCAAGTAAGTTGTAATTTGTAATTAATTCTTATTAATTAAAATAAAAATTTACCTCAAAATTACTTTCCCTATTCTTTACCTTTAAATTTTTTGTGAATTATTTTCAATCTCCAAAATTGCTAAAATCATAATAGTGATTTTGAGAAAATCATATGAAAATTTTGTGTCTATCAGCAATTTTCTAAAATAATTTTATCTATAAAATCGACATCGTTATTTTATGTTCTGCTTTGAAGTAATAAGAAAAAAGAAATAAAACTTTTCTAAACTTAAATTTTGATTTTAAAAAACTGTCAACTATCCTCTGAAACTGTACAGTGTGAAAAATTAGGTATCTCCGAGCAATGCTGCTCGAATAAATCATAAATCTGTCATTTTATACAGCATCCTTATTAATCTATTATTACAGGTATAACATAATTTTTATTTTATTTATTTTTTTCATTTTAACTATTTATCACTATCCAATATTGCTTATATCACTTATATCTATTATTAACTCATCCATCCTATATTTCTCTTTTCTAGTTAATTGTTCAAATTTCAGAACTTAATAAATCTTTTTTTATAAAATCAATTATTAAAAACTGATCAAATGTCAAAATTTTACCAAATTGTTTTTAAGCCTTAGTAATAATTGAATAATTTGAAATATTAACTTAGTTAATTAAAAGTTATAATCTGAGATTAGTGTAATGTCTAAATAAAAGAAGGTGGTTAGTGCCCTTGGAGTACCAGAATAATATGTTTGGCCAAAATCACAATATTCCTTGTTTTAACATCTAGATTTTCTTGAAAGTTTATTGTTTTGTTCAGGATAGTTTTGTGATAGCTACATTATAAATTCTTAGTAGTGGACTATCTCTCATATCGAAAGTCTTGGGGAATTACCCTTTTATGAAAGGTGTGCACTTCTCATATATTAGCTAATGTACTATTGGTTTGGCGAATAAGCCCTTTTGGTTTTTCAGGGTGAAATAAAACTCAATGTATTATAGGCATAAAATTTTATTTTAATCTACAATATATTGGCCATTATTTAATATGACTTTTTCCCGTCTTCGCACTAACTGCATAATGCCATGTTCATAGAATGCCTGGAGTTTATTGTTAAAAAACTGATCCAAGTAGTTTTTTATATCCTCTTCCTTTTGGAATTTCTTTCTATTCATAGAGTTCTGCAGAGGCCAAATTTAGGGCCATAGCAATCTCGCACTGATTGGGTGGGATTTTGATCAACAATAGCCTTAACATTGCTCGTTTCAATTTCATGTGGGTGACCAGACCGTTAAGCATCATTTCTGTCAAAATTTCCTGAATGAAATTTGACAAACCAATTTGACAGCTGAGTTTGGTTAAATAATCATCCCCATAAACACTACACATTTTTCTATGAGCTTCTGCAGCACATTTTTAAAATAATTCAACAAAATATGCCGATAATGAATGATATTTTCCTCTATCTTACCAGTGCAATAGCAAACACAATACTAAGCTAGTTTCTACAAGAGTTAACAGATATAGTTGTTGACATATTGCAAACTTGATAAACAATCCATCTTATGGATTAATTCATCAGATAAGAAGTGTATCATAGGGACATAAAAATAAACAGAAAAATCGGAAGGATTTATTTACCAACCCAATATTATTCTCCAATCTTATTGTCTGATCGGAAACTAGTGCTTTCATTCTGGTGTTGGAGAATGCAGTATCTGCATGTTTAGTAAATCTCTCACTTTCAACGCAATAAACTTTGCTATAGTTGCGGTTCTTTTCTTCAAGAATCATCAATCCTATAGTGGTTGGATGTTATGAAGAAGGAGTTAATGGAACATTTTCCAACCATATAGACTGCTGTTTAAGACTCTTCTTTGTGACAGAGGGAACTCTGTCTTCTCTCTGCTGGTTCTTGGAACACCGTGCTGGGGTGCATCATTAATGTCAAGTTTTAGAGTTTTGGACCTTTCTCACTGAAGGTATTTACCTCTTACATATGAATCCAAGGGTTTCAGGACCTCTTTGCAGGATAAATACATAAGTGTTGGTATTAGCCCATTTTTTAAAAGATTTTTCTTGCAGTGACTATCTTAGAGCTTTCCCATTTCAGTGGCCCTCATCATCACTTCTTGTTCCTCCCAGCACATTTCCTGATTTTTGCTACATAATCAAATGTAATCTGGAACAGATAATCCAGCACATAAGACCTTCACTGGGTAATGGACCCATTCTCTAAAGGAGCCTCAAATTGACAGTCCATCAATCCCAAAGCCTCAATACTTCCTTAGGGTAGAGATGTTAATCTTTAGGTATGTTAATAGGTAGTTCAATAAAGGCATTAATATAATATAGGATTTATTTTTGTGAGGGGTATATAAGCAGCTTTAAATCTGGCCCTTTATAATATATGACAAATCATAGTATTTAAGCGTGTGAACTTAAAATCTTACCAGCCTTGGAGTTGGGTTCAATAATGTAAACCTTATTACTGGTTTAACTGTTTAAACTTCAGTGGACATTGAATTTGGTATCTGAACACATTTTTCATAGCTTGCATATTTAGAGAGATTCTCACTTTCAAAGTTTACTGTTATATAATTATTTATTGTGTTAATTATAACATAAGTATCTAAATTAACTATCAAGTTAATATAATAGATTATAGGTTTTTTTAGGTTGTTATAATTCGAAAATATGCTTTATTTCTTATTTATTTCATTACAAAGGTAACAGAACTTCAACATGAAAAAGAAGAACTGAAGAATAGTCAGGAGAAAGCTCTTGAGAGTTTAAAGAAGGAATTGACAACTTCAAAAGAGGAAATGAATAAAACATCAGAAGAATTAGCCAAACTAAAATCTGAAATGACTGCTCAAAGTGAATCTTTGAATGACATCCGCAATAAGGAACGTCAGGTTAGTATAGTATAACTTTTCTTTTCTGTTTTTAAAATATGATTAGTTTCACATAATTTTGAGACCTACTATGTGTGATTCAGACTAGAGAAACAATGTTATAACAATTACAAACATTATTCATGCTTATATAAAAATGTTAAGTTTGGTTTCTGGATCAAGGGCTTATTCTAACCTTAATCCTAAATAGTTTTTTTTTTTTAAATTATTGCAAAATTTAAAATTACTTTATAATAATTTTTTTGTTTGTTTTAGATAAGGCTGATAGCTAAAAGATATAAACAGCAATACACTGATACTTTGAAAGTCATGGAAGATGAAAGGAAAGTTAAAGTTGAAGCAGGCCCTTCAGTATCTCAAGAAACTGAAGATAAAATCAAACAACTTACGGAACAGGTAAATCAGTGTTCACTAAGTGTTTCAGGATAAGATTATTATATTTTTTTTTCAATAGTCAGGGTGGCGACCGACCTGGAAAACAGATAGTCATGGAATTTTCTAAACAGGGGAAAATTGTTGAAGTCAAGGAATTTTTTCAGTGTGTAAATATTTTTTTCAAATTGAAATTAATATACGATTGATATCGTTTACAATGAACTTGAAAGGGTAAACTTTGTCATTATAAACGACAACGGTTGTTATATTCTTCCACCTTTGACTGTCAATAATGGCACTGGTCATTATCTTGAAATCAAACAATGGTAATGAATAAAATTTAAGCAAAATGTAATCAAAACAGTGCTTTTTGTATAGAAAAACATAATAATACTATTCACTGTTTGTAATATATAGCATTTCCAAGTAAATTTCAACCTTTTCCAAGTCAAATTCAACTTTTAAATTTTTGTAAATTTTCTATATTTTTTTTTTCTAAATAAAGGCCACTTGCTATATTATCGAAGGCATAGCTTTAGAAAAATACAAAAAAAAAAAAAAAAATTGATAATGCGGTTGCATATCCATTTATTTTTACTTTTTAGATTTTTGCGGTAGAATATTTCCATGGCATATTTAGTTTTTTCCAAATCAAATTCAATCTAAAATGTGATAACATGTGTTACATTCAAACGTAATAAATGTGGGGGTCTATTATTATGCTCCCCTAAGTAGAGTTTTTCAAAATACTATCGATTTTATGTTAAACTTTCAGATATCCATTTATTGTATCTCTTAGGATTTATTCGATATAAGGGTATAGTATTATGTTATCGTGTGCCTAGTTTTAAAAATAATCTCCCTAGTTAAAAGAATACACCCTTATATAGAATAAATCCAAAAAACGTAAATAAGTCGAAACACCGTGGCGTATTATAAAATGGAGGTCATTTTCAAAATCTACTGCTCCAGAAACATAAGAATACACTCTTATATCAAATAAATCCGAGAAACTTAAATAAGTTGAAACAGCGGTTTAATCTTGAAATGGAGGTAATTTTCAAAATATAAGGCCCCGAAAACATATAAGTAGAGCTTTATATCGAATAAATTAAAAACACTTAAATAAATTGAAGTGCAGGGGCGTAATCTTAAAATAGAGGTATTTTACAAAAATTACTCATACATCGAAAAATGAAAAATAATTTACTCAAGTCTATATGTAGAATTCTCTTTCATGTATGATAAATAAATTTAGTTATAAATTATGCATTTTTAATATTTGTGTCCCTAGACACATTGGTCAGAGAAATCCATTAAATAGGGAAAAGTCATAGAATTTTACTTTAATTGTCTGGTAGCCACCCTGATAGTACTTAATATAATGTATTTTAATTTTTTTTGGCAATGATTAGAATTTTTTTTTTATCATCCAAAATATCTCAATTAAATTCTTATAATCTGCTACTAATATTATTTATTTAGTTTTGAAATAAATGAGAAATTCATCTCTGATGGAGAATATAACATTTTCTTATATTACGATTTCAATTGATTTTAGTTAATTATGTATGAATGCGTTGTTTAATTAAAAACTAAATTTTGTGATTAAATAGGTTTTTATTTTATTACTTCACAGGTAACCAATCACGAGACTGAAATAGAAAATCTCAAGAGAGAAAATGAAGCTATGAAAGTTAATTATAATGAGCGAGATGAAAGAGCAAAACAAATTCTTAAAAATGCAAGGGCCAAAATATTACATCTCACTGAAGACAAGAAAAAACTTGAAGAAATTTTATCCAAAGGTGGAGAAGGAGGTGACCTAAGGCAAATTATCGCTCAACTTGAAAAAGACAAGGAGGAGGAAGTTGCAGAAAAAGAAAGGCTCCAACGAGAGCTTGAAGTGATGAATCAGAGGTTAGCTATCATGCAAAGGCAGTTGGACAAGCAACAGGTACGTGTTTTTCAGCTCAGTTGTAGTAATTGCAGTATAATATCTTTTAACCTGGATCTATCAAAAATTTAAAAATACTACAGATTACCTTACTTCTTTTTGGAACAGTAAATCTATCATCTTTAGAAAAAAAAAAAAAAAAAAACTGATGTCTGTGAAAAACAGTCTTTTATAAAATTATAGCTCTCACATTTTAATCTATCTTCATGTCCTGCACTATGAGTATATTTTATGTACATTTCTTGAAACTTAGACAAGGGTTGAGACTGCGCCTCAATATTTCCCAAGTTAGAACTGGCTCTTGATTGGAATCAAGCTTGGGAAGGTTGAATCTTTTATTTTATGATGAACATACAGAATAAATCTCGGCTATTGAAGAAAGTTAGTCAACTGTTCTGCACATCATCTGTGATACATAGTTAGAACACAGTCAGTTTTTAAGATTTTTATTGCTAAAGTTTCAACGAAAGCTTGTGGGTCATCATCAGCACTGAGTTTTGGTTGAAACTTTAGAAATTTTTTTTTTTTTTTAATTTTATTTTATTGAGATTTACAACTGTATTACATGGAAAATACAATAAGTAAATGTGACATTGGTAACATGACATGTACAGCATGAAGAGAAACTACCCATTGGTAGAACTCAAATTAAAGTTCTATATTAGAAGATCCCGAGGCCATCTTCTTTTCAGACGCCTCGGAGGATTATCAGGGATCGAGGAGGAAGCAAGGTTTGAAACGAGAGGATTCGGATGTTTCTGCAGTTTGTTATCTGGATTGGACCAAATCGGAAACATATGGAACATTAAGGTCTTTATGGATGATTTTATTTGTGACAAAGTAAGGAGCGTTGAGGATTTTACGAAGGATTTTGGATTGTAAGGATTGGATACGAGAGGAATTCGATGGTTTAGTGGAGCCCCAAAGCTCAATTCCGTAAGTCCAAATAGGTCTTATTATTGTCATATATATGAGTCATTTGTAATTGATTGTGAGCTTAGAGCGTTTGTCTAGTAAGTGCTGCAGTAGTCGAAAACGTTGGGCCGTTTCAAGTCGTTTCAGTCTGGTATGGGGGTTCCAAGTGAGTCGTTTGCCAAGGTGGAGTCCTAAGTATCGGATTTGTTCGACAGGGATAAGAGGGCTATTGTTGAAGGATACTGTAGGACAGGAAGTCATAGGTTTATGGCGAAGAGTGAAGGTAATTTGATGGAATTTATTGGAATTTATTTTAATCCTCCAGTTCTGACACCATTTTTCAAGTCTTGTGATGTGTGATTGAAGCGTTTGGGATGCAATAGATGGATCGTTATTAACTGATAGGATACACGTGTCATCGGCATAGGTGATGATGACAGTGTTGGATTGGGTTGGGATGTCAGCTGTATAAACTGTGTAAAGGATAGAACCTAGGATACTACCTTGAGGAACACCGGCAGACTGAGTAAAAAGTGATGAATGAGCATTGTTATGATTGACTTTGAAGTGTCTGTCAGTAAGGTAGGAACGGATAATGAGGAAGTATGTAGGTGGTAGGAATACTTTAGAAATAAAAATCTTAAAAACTGACTGTATTCTAACAATTTATCACTTATATTAAATCTCGACCTTAATCTGGCTGAGACATGTTAATAACCTGTTAAGATAACCTTACTTCCTTCACTAGTTGTGGTGCATAGGAATGTTAAACTAAATGTAGAAACATTCTTTTCTTTTAAGTGAAATTCTCTGATTCTTAAAAGTATGTTGTAGAAATTCAAAAATTTGTATCTTTCATTGTTCATAAATTGCAATACCTAATAAATTTTTGGCACAATAATTCCTTCCTAAGATTATTAAGTTTTAAATTTACCAATCGTAGTATATTAGTTTTGTTATAAAATTAAATATTTTTATTGAATTATTAATGTAATCTCTCTTGACTCTTTTACAGGGTACAAAACCATCTGCAAATACTTCCGAAAAAGGAACAAGTGACCCTCCTACTGCTAATATTAAACCCATGTCTGGTCAGTCTACCTCTGGTGTAAAACAACCACAAGTAAGACCATGCGTAGCTATTTTAATCATAGTTATTGATTATTAAATTTCATAGCAGTTATTCTATAGCAACAAGAATGAAATTTTATTTCTATTTTTATTAATTTGATAACTTGCTCTAGGCTCAACATGCTGCTACTGTTACTCCATGGAGGGAAACTCCCTTCGCAAGCATACGGCCAATGTCACCTCAGACCAGAACCGTAGTAGTACTTCCAAGCCAGACCACGTCTACATCAAATCAACCGTATGTTGATAATGTGTTTTTTAAATTTATTTTTTATTAGTTCCTCAACCATTTTAAGTAAATGAATTATGGTAATTGGTTATACAGAGAGCTTTAATCAGCTAATGTGGTTCAAATCCTCCATAAATTATAGTTTCGCTATAGTGTAATCAAGAGTAAGCTTTATTACCACTAAATGAATCCCATTGTGATTTAAAAGACAATTTTCTTTTTATTGCTAATTCCTCTATGTCCACTTTGTATCAAACAAATTTTATCGGATGTTTTCATTTTTAGAGATAACTGTTGCCATATTTTATAATGTTGCGATAGCAGGGACTTTGTTCACATTGGCTCTAAAAATATACATCATCAACATCACAAGTATTATTCTTTTACAAGAAATTTTTTTAAAACTTTTGTACTTGATTCACTATACCTCTGGAATTCAAGTATTATATGAATCTTACTTTAATACTCTCACCACATAATCAATTAGAAAATAAAAATATTAAAGTAATTTCAGAAAGAGGATTTTTTATAGAATTTATTTTCTTCAGTAATGATTATTCTTTTTTTATCAAGCTTAAACTTATTGGTATTTATTTATTATTTTTTGTTTTGTCCTATCTAGTGATTATAATTATAATTTACTGATGATTTGATGAGAAACTTTCTTATAATATCATTTGGGTTAAATCACAAAAAAAAATTGTTAAATTATTTACGAATTGTATTATATTTACTTTACATATTTTATAATTAGATATTATTTATTTTATAGTGTTTAACATTTTTAGTTAAATAAGTGATAATTGACCTATTTCAGAGTGTTGGTGGCTCCACAGCAACAAGTTGTCCATACAAGTAGCACATGCGAGGGACTTTCATCGTCCCCGACTTCATCTCATACTGATTACATGCCTGCCACAAGTTCAGCTGTCCATAATATTCATCCTGCAACGGTTATTCTTGGACAGGTTTGTTAATTGTTTAAAACTTTAGTTATTTTTTTTATTTATGCATAATTGTCATTTTATGAAGTTGCTAGTAATATGTTGGTTTAAATAAACAATTGTTTAGATTGTTGTACGTTATCAATATGCAAAAAGTTCTGTATATTTGCATTGTTTTGCAGCATATGGAAGCAGAAACTGCCAGTGAAGACAGCCCCAGTCAGCATTCTGTCCAACCAACACAGAATACCGTATCTATAGCTCTTGTGCTTCCACAGCCAACGACACAGCAACAGGTAAAATATACAATATAAATATTAAATATAGTGCATGTATGGTACAAGTCTATTCAAAGAAATATGGAGTTTCAGCTCTTAAAACTAACTTAAATGAAGGAAGTCAGTTTTGTTCTCTCCTCTCCTTAGATATTTAGATTCTAAGTTTGAATATAATTTAAAATATTTTTTAACAATATTTGTGTATTAGAAGGAAAAGTGGTTGCAGTAATTTGTTTATGTTTTTTGTTCACCCTCTATGCAATTAATGTATTGTAGGGTGAACCTGGGGATGGAGAAAGTGCAGTTGTTGTTTCTGCATCGTATCAGGAACAAGTCTCCGAACTGTCGGTTTCTGGATCAAGCCACATGTCAACTCCAATTGTAGCTACTTATTACAGGCAGGTTGGTAACAATCCTTCCTGCCATATTAACTAATCCCGGCTATTTAATTCACAACTAATTTTTTTTATCGGCTTGGAGAAACTGTAATTTCTTCAGAAACTGACAGCTAACAGATAATATTATATAATTATAAGCCCCACTTGATGGTGGAAGGAGGGTTAATTAAAAGGTTAAGGGACTCAAGTGGTTTATTTATCAATTGCTCACCCTGAATGCCATTTTTAAAATGTATTGTAGGGTGACGCTGGGAGTGGAGAGACTGCAGGAGTTGTTTCTGCCTCAGGTCAGGAACAAGTCTCGGAACAGTCTGTTTCAGGATCGAGCCACAAGCAAGCACCAATTGTAGCCACTTATTACAGGCAGGTTGGTAATCCTTCCTGCCATTATAGTATATACTGGCTATGCATTTTAACATTATTTTATTTTGGGTTCATCATTGCGCTATAAATGATATAATTATCGCATTCTGTGTTTGCTTTTAAAACTTCCGATCAATCGTGAAACCTTAAAATATCTTATTGGTTAATCAATTTTTTTTTTTACGTGTTTTTAGTACGTATATAAAAGGTTATTTACAAAATTAAAGTACAGCATTTCTAATGCAAGAATTGGGGAGAATATTAAAAGATAATACTTTCGATTAGTTGAAAAGCTTCATTAAACATATATAAGTATTGATGAAGTTTATTACTACGATATATTCAGCAAGTAAACTTTTAGATGCTGTTGAAATTATCTTATAAAATTGACTTTATAAGGAAAAATAGAAGTTTTAATAATTTGTTATTTTAAAATAAATAAATAAATAAAATGTTGCTTGACCCTGAAATAATTATTTTCAAAAAATTAATTTTCAATTTTTATATTAAATATTTCCCTATTTAGTTTATAAAAAAGTTTTACTTAGTATAAGTAATGCTTCGAATGAATCTCTTTTTTTGTTTTATAATGTGATAGTATACTCCTTTAGAAAAAAAAAAAAACACTTGTTTTTTTTTAATTGAAGCCTTTTGAAGGAAATATTTTATTACAAAGTTACTTCTAATATAAGCTTCTATGAAGTAATTTATTTTAAAAATTATGTTTATTTTAATATAATATAAATCAAAATTTAAAGTTTCATTGTTTTAATGGTCCAGACTCAATGCAGTTGAATCCGTACTAAATTATTATTTGCTATAATATTTACTTCTGTACTACTGTTATTCCACTTCGGATTTGTTGTTTATATAAATAATTGTTTTAATTATTGACATCATTGCTTTGTCATAACTTTAATAGACGTTCAAGTTCTCGGGTTGAAAGACCTCCCAAGGTAACAATATTCAGTCCCTAGTTTGTTTGTTAAAACAATCTAATTTCAGGAATTACCAGTCGGATTTAGATAAAAATATATTTGTTATGTTTCTGTCATTTTAATAGTATGGATTATTGAAATAATTAAATTTTTAATTAGATCGTTCATTGATCTCTACAGTCCTTATATTACCACTAATACAGTCCATGTATATTGTCGCTGTATAATGTTATATTGACATGCATGGGTCAATATTGACTACCTATCCGTTTTCTGTCCTTATAAATTGGTTTTGAGGTTTTGAACAGTTGATGGTGTCAAGTGCCACTAATTTATCTTAAAATTTCATCAAATTTTCTAATGAATATTTTCTTCTAGGTCAATATTCTCCAATAATTTTTATATAAAATAATCTTAGTTATTTGGCAATGATTACTTCCAATTAGCAACAATTGAATATATTCTATATTATATTATATATATTCAATTGTTGCTAATTGGAAGTAATTATTGCCAAATGACTAAGAATATTATACAGCTTCCCAGAAAAAAGAAGTATATAAAATAATTTTTTCTGTGATCAAGTTGTTTCTATACTATTAATTATCTGAAATTTATTAGTGGATAGTTATTACATTAAGTGAATATAACCACTTACTATAATCTTATATATCTACATCCTGTGAAAAAGCTAGATACATTGCTCCGATTAGATTTTTTGTAAAAATAATAGAAACTTGAGTCTGTCGAAAAGTGGTTCTGTATAAAATTTTTCTTACAGGCCCAGGTTGAAGAATCAGGGCTTTCTGTAGCAAGTAGTGGGCAAGGAGGAGTTGGTAGTGGAAGCAGCAGTAGCCAACAGGCAGCCAGTAGCACGACCAGCACCAGGCAGAGCAGCCAAGGAAGTAGCAAGAGGCCTGCACCCGCTAGCGACGAGCAGAACAAGCACAGCACTCCGGCCAAGAGGACGAGGCTGACTCCCGCTGCTACCAGTGCTGCTGCCGCCACTGCCACTGAGGGCGAAATGCTTCTTAGGTATTTTTTTTTTTTTTCAATGCATTATTTATGAAAGAATAAGTTTTAATCAGCTGAATTATTTATAGTTAACTCTTATGATTAAATTGAGCTTTACATTATGATATTGTAGTTTATGGTAGTACATCTTTTATAAATTAATTTTTAACTATCTACTATTCTAAGATAGTCCAGTGCATCGAGTTTTGATGGGGAGTTGGGGGAAAGTACAAACAACTGATATTGTTTTTTTTTTTGTTTTTTTTTTGAGAATATCTCTACATTTATGAGGTTTTCCGCAAAGATTGTTTACTACAATATCAAAGTACTTTAAAATCTCTGTAATAATGATCTTTTTGATAAAATCAATGGTTACGGAGATATTTCTGAGATTATATTTATTGTATTCCCACTTTGAAGCAAAAAGTGCTCCAAACTACGAAATTGATGTATTCCATAGTAAATGATACCATTTTCAAGTTTAATTCGTTTTTAACATTTTTGATCATTCCAATTATTCAAACTTTCTTTTAATGATTGTAAAAAGTCATTGACAACAGAATACTAGCTATTCGATATCAATCAATGGGGAATTTCGTTATAATGATATAAAGTTTAGATTGATATTAATTTCACATAATTGATAATATGTGATAGAAGACATTAAAACTTATAAAAAGTTACCATAAACCATGGTCTGATTACATACTGAGAACCAGGAAACTTAAATTTTATAATTTTTAAGCCAACCAAGTTTTATGTTGAATAAAAAGCAATAACTAAAAAAAAATGTTGAATTTTGGTTCCAACCAATTACTTCATAGTAAACCAGATTAAATTTACATTAAATGCAAGTATTTTTTTTAAAAATCATTTAAGGAGTATTTTTAAGCAGTTAAACCATGATAAGTTCGGGTTTTCATAAAATCAAGTATTTTCACAACTTATTTTGTAACCACCCAACTGTACTGAAGGTACCACACTTTCGGAAAAACTTCCTTGTTTGATGAGCTTTAAGTCTAAATTAATCAAGTTGTAGTTTGTTACAGAATAAGTTGAGGTTCATCTTTAATTGAGTAAAAATATTTGTGTTGATTCCTAATTTTACTGTATTCTTAATAATATTTTTTACTCTATTAGATAAAATGTAAACTTAATTGTTTATTAAGTGGTTTTTAGTTCTCACCACATTTGTTTGTTTGTTTTTTATACAAACTCAGTATAGCCTTCCCCAGACCTGTTTCGATATTCTCCTCTTCCAGAGCTTTGTTTATATCTGTATTCCTGACCCTGTCGAATGCTTTCGTCAGGTACACGAAGCAAATGTAAACTTTTTTGTTCTTTTCCAAGACCATTTTGGAGAGCCGTCTCATTACAAACATTAGGTCTGTTACATATATTACATATGGACTGTCAAACACGAATGGGCTGTTCCCCTTCTGGGATGTTCACAATGACTCCATTTAGCCGCTTTTTCAGGATTTTAGAATAAATCTTGCAAGGTAGACTGAGTAATGAGTATATTAGATATTATTATGCTCTTTAATCTGTTTAATCAGATGTTGATCTGTTTATTTATAATAGTTAATTGTTTTGTTTTTTTCACTATCCTAATGTTCCAGATCTGATGGCCTGGAAGTTGAATACCAAGTACCAACTAGCAGCCAGAGAGATCAAGAAGATGACATCCTGGTGATCAGTGATGAGGATGATGACATGCCAGATGATGGGGTGAGTATCGATATGATTCTGTGACTGATTTGAATAATGTGCTATAATGATTGATTTTATTTTATTTTTTTAAGTTTGTTGATACACTGTCTTTAAAACAATACATTTGAATAATATGTTTGATATTTTTGCCAAATGATTTTATTTTGTATTCTATTATATTTATTTAATAGCTGTTAATTAATTGACATATGAAATTTGAATTATGTGAACCACTTTGGAATACTCCAATGCCTGAACATTTTTCTGCATCGGTCCTTATACCTCTAATTAAAGTACACAGGCTTGGATTCTTGCTGTATTTATCAAAATTTGTTATGGGTCTCAGTATATTTAATCTGATGAGAAAAAATTGACAGTAGTTAATGGATTCTACGATGATATAAGATTAGATTTATATACAATTATCATTAATATATAAGTTTAATGTTTGAATCAAACTAAAAATTTTTAATTATTGAAGGAAGTTGGTCGACTGTTGTACATATCATGGGTGATAAATATTCAGGACGCAGTCATTATAAAATTTTTATTTGATCCTACGTTTCAACCCAAATATGTGGGTCATCATACCTTCAGTGCTCGAACCACGCCCTGATGATGACTGATGATGAAATGTTTGGGCTGAAACGTCGGCACTAATAAAACCTTTATAATGACTGCTACTTGAATAATTATCACCCAAAAAAATGTTGAAGTTAAATAATAGGAACACTTTGCTTTGATTTATAAACATTATAATGGGAGGAAAATGTTTAAATCGATAAGCAATTTTTTGAGCATTTGTTTTATACCCAAAATTATAGTCAAGCCTGCAAAAGTAATAAAAATATAAACAAAAAAAAAAGAAGAAGAAAGATTATTAATACACTTATTTATGTTTTGATAGTATATGGAATAATAAGATGTTCTTTTTTTCTTAATATATTATCTTTTAATAGATACTTTTATGTTTATGTTTAAAATAATCTTTCTGCATCAACTTTACTGATTGGTGCTTATATGTTTATATTTCGATAATCTTAATGATTTTCTAATCTCTTAATTTGTAATGCCAAAGATCTAAATAAACGCTTGTCTTGGCTTGCTACATACCAAAATTTCCTCCAAACGCTTATACAAATTACTATGCAAAGGAGAGATAGTGTTACTGAATCCCTTGTCCAACCATCTTAATTAGTTTGTATTATCCTTCTCGTTTTCTTGATTTGAGACCTTAAACTCTCATTAGTGGTCTACATCTTTCATTCTTGTTATATTCTTATATATGTAAGCGGAATGGGGGGTCTATCGAAAATTTTATAACTTCATCTTGGCAAGACTGTACAGTGCAACAAGAACAGTTTTCTGGTACACATTTAATGCTAGGCAGAAACATCTTATTCTTTGCTCTGCTTATAGCACTCGGTGCCATCTTTTCTTGGAACATACTTATGATAATATTTTTAAGAAAATATTTTTTTTTATAAATATTTTAAGAAATTTACTGTCCACTGGCATTAGATATGAAATTATTTATTTTAGTCATCTATGATGTTAATATTAGTTGTTTTTAATATTAAATTAACAACAACTTTTAAATTCTTTTTTTTTTCCTCCCTAAGCCTCCTGTTTTTCGACGAAAAATATCCAAGAAAAGAATAAATTATACAGGAACTAATTATGGTACAAGATTGGATCAAAAAGTAAATAATAATATTAAGGTGTAAGTACTAAATTAGAAAAACGTCTAGCCCACGGGCATCATAAGCTTTTATATAATTTTTAATTTCTTGTGCTCAAATTTGAAAAGTAGAAGTTTTTAGTTAAAATATATCTAATGTTTTGAATTAGTTGTTTCTTAAACATTAAACTTTTTTAGCATATAGTTGAAATCTCTTTGAAATAACTTAAGAATAAATGAATTCGGTCTAAATAATTTGGACTTTTATAAAGATTGTGAAAGTATTTTATCAAATTGAATATGGTTCCTGTATGCCTTCAAATCATTATATGAGATTACATATTATTTTTGGTAGTATTTGATAGTACCACTGTTAAATACAGGAATATTAGTTTAATTTGTGTGACTTCAAAAGATTTTTATCAAATGGTTTAGGTTTTAGAAAGAGAATCTAGAGTGTTTCAGCCTGGTGTGGATAACTGAGTAGTAACTTGAATAATAGGATATTATAACGATGTAGATAATCAAAAGATAACGTTTGGATTCGGATAAAATGGAATACCTTTGTATTTATAAATAATAGAGTGATAATGATTTTAAATGGAATAAGATAAAAATAAGTTATTAATGATGTCTCTTTTCTAGCTTTATGCTTATTTTGAAATAATATAAAAATAAGTATTAGTAAAGAAGGCCTCAATAATTTTTATATTACATCCATTCCTCAGATCTATGCTTTTAAATTAATGCTAACTCCCATTTACACTCTTAAAGAATTAATTGACTCTCGTAATTAATAGATTCGTGTAGCTTAGTTTCATTTTTTATTTCATTTTAAAGTTCCAATATTACAATGTTTACTTTTTTTTTTCCTCATTCTTTTCTTCATTTTGTACTGGTAATTTGTTAAATAGGCATACAAATATTTACTTATGTATTACCAAAATACTTTTAACAACAAGGATGAAATAATCCTCAATTTATGTAATTTCGGTTTATTTAGTATTCTTGGGTGGCAAATATATCTTGAAAATGGAGAAATGGAACACTGTGTTGTTATTTTCTTATGTCTTCTCCTAGTGTCTATCTGATTTTCGGTTGTTAAGTTCTTTATGTTTGTCTTGGAAAGATCATCTAATGTGATAAGTGTAGATAGCTTTTATTTTTATTTCATCCGTGGTCAAAAACCAAATAAATCTTTCGTTATTTGAAATAAATTGTGTTCTACACTACTAGTTAGTTTCCTTTATACTTGTATCTTGTTTTACTTAGTTCTAATGAAGGCCTACCGTAGGCCAAAACATATGCTCACATTAAAAGAAGTATTATTGTGTAATTGTGCATTCTCTTTCTTTTTTCTGCAATCAATTTCTTGATTACATTTATGTTCAATGATATCTTTACCATTTATTTTAGACAAAAAATTTTAGTCATAAGATCTTCTGAAGAAGTGTATTTTTCTGTTTAGATCCATTAAATTTTCTTGTTTTTTGTGCTGGTTAACATCATAAAGGCTCATTTACACGGTGCCAGTCGCTGGCGCCAGTCACTGGTGCCAGTCGCTGGCATTCCAGTCGACTGGCGCATTACGGTTAAAGCTCATTTACACGGTGCCAGTCATATTCCAGTTGACTGGCGCATAAAGTTTACACATTCCCGTTAATGTAGAACGATTCGAGTGTTATGAGAGGCCTTTAAAATACGTCTTACTTTTATGACTTTTTAATCTGCAATGCCAACGCTCAGTCTCCTTCGTCATGACAGAGTAGATCGTACGGATGGTGGAAAAGGTCTCTTTGTCCATGTCAGCCTAAAATCCAGAATCCTTCGGTGCTCTTCCTTAACCGATTCTCTGCTCATTGAATACCTCTTTGCCGAAATCCTCACAACTTCATCTGTCATTCTATTTGCTGTCATATATCGCCCTACTAGAATTGTTTTTGATGTATAATTTGAGATTTCTTTGTACAACTTAATTCCTTCCTATTCAAATGTCATCCTCTCCGGCGAATTTAAAACCAATTTACTGATGCAATTCTCCGATTATTCTTACCTAACAAGTGCCCTCCATTCTCTCAGCCTTTAGCCATTATCTTATAGTATCCTACAACTCTACCATACCCAGTTCTCGGAGTCCTGGCTCGATCTGTTTATCCTAGATTTCTTAGACAAACTCCTTCCTGCATTTCAGCACCCGATACCGTTTCTATCTTACCACAGTCTTATCCAGATTTCTTACAATATCCCTATCACATCCTTTTCTCCTCGAAACCTTCCAAAACCTTAATTCACTCACTCACGAAACATTTTCAAACGATCTTGACGATATTCAATGAGATCGTATTTACTCCTCAAAATCCATCGACACCATGGTAGGAACCTTAACCACTCATCTTCACTCCATCCTCGACCAACATGCTCCTATTATCACAAACAAAATCCTTCCGCTCCTTGGCTGACTCCTGCTTTGAGAGAGTGTATGAGAGAAAGAGATGCTGCAAACCGATGGTTTAAACGAACTCGAGTTCCTGAAGATTTTCTATTCTTCGAACAGCTTCGAAACACTACTCAATCAGCAGTACGCCGTACCAAATCCAGTTAATACTATTATTCCTTATTGAACTCCCCTAATACCAATGCCACTTGGGCTATTCTTAGAAAACTGACCATTGGTAATACACCTCAGTCCCAGTCCATTTCCGTTTCTGCTGATAACCTCTACGCTCACTTTGAATCTCCACCCTTGTCCAGAGGTATTCCCCAATCTTCTCCTGAACAACTCCCCTATCTTATTCTATACTACCGTTAAAAACCTAGGTGTCACTTTTGATCAAACCCTTTCCTGGAAACCACACAACTTCCAAATTTCTCTTCGCAATCTGCTCCCTAAAACAGTTCAATCGCCTATGTTACCTCCTTCCTTCCATATGTCCCGTCAACTCCTAGTTACCTCCCTTGTTTTCCCCCACTTTGGCTATGGCTGTATGGTGTACGGTGGACTTTCGGGAGATTTCGAAGCCAAACTTAAACGCCTAATGACTTTCCAATTACGTTTTATTTTCGGACTCTCAAGAGATACGCATATTACACCGAGTTGAAGTGGCTCTATCCATCCTATCGCCGTCGGTACTTCCTGGCTACCTTTCTGTACCAAATCATTAGAACTCATCCTATTTTTTTCACAGCTTACAATTTAAATACCTCATCCAATCCCGTCCCACTAGATCTCGTACTTCCGACATCTATCCTTCCCCCCACCGAACTGCTGTGTTTGACAAATCCTTTGCAATTCAAGCCGTCTCCCTCTGGGGTTCCATCCCTGCTGATATTAGACACACACAATCAGTTTCCTCTTTCAAACCTCTCCTCTTTAAACACCTAGTTCTCAATCCATCTGATTACGAAATATAACAGTTCCAGAATAATAAAATATAATTTCCATTTTATCTCACTTATATATAAGAACAGTCTGTGCCCTTGAAAGGTAGAAGCAAAATAATAAAATGAGAAGGAGTTAGTCGAGGGTGCAGTCAAATAAATAAAAAAATTAAAATATATAAATTATTTTAATTTTTACCGACGTTTCGACCCACTTTGCAGGTCGTCTTCAGGGCGTAGGATGTGGCACTGCGGGAGGCAGTTGAAACACTGGCCAGACACACAACTGCCTTCCGCAGTGCCACATCCTACGCCCTGAAGACGACCTGCAAAGTGGGTCGAAACGTCGACAAAAATTAATATAATTTATATATTTTAATTTTTTTATTTATTTGACCGCACCCTCGACTAACTCCTTTTCATATTATATCAACGGTCAACCATCTCTACATCAAAATAATAAAATATTAATACGACTGTCATAAGTTATTACCCTCCATTTTAAGCTATAAATTTAAGCGTTCTTCTATCATCTTATACGATTTATTTACTTAATATAATATTCTCTAAAATCTTAATTTTTCCGCCCATACCCAAATTATATTTCTATTGTCATAATTAAGATGCTTTTTATCTTTTCTGGTTTTGATTTGGTATATAAGTGCCATACAGAATAAGAACAAATCTTTATCGTTTAAAAGTGTTAAAAGTTATGAATAAATACAGACAGATTAGTTATAAGCGATTTAGAACTAAAATAAAACACCTTATTGCAGTGTAATCTATTACCCATATCCACAATTTTCTAAGCTTATATTACGAATATTGGCGTTCGTATAGGATATATTATTTTAAAATTTTGGTAATATTGCCTTCAGCTGATTTATAATTAGGCATAGGTTTTCATCAATCATAAAAAAAAGGTAAATAAGTATTTTGGACAATTTGTTTTGCTGGTTAATCATACCTTGCCGAGGTTAGGGGCTTGCCAGTGTGCCAGTCAAACAAAAATATTTGTTCTACTGGCATGTGCCAGTTGACTGGCAGACCAGTCTCTCTCTCGTGAACTATTTACTACCTACCTCGCTATTTCTAATAGAAGGGAGTTTTGTATAGGGCTGTTCAAGGGGTAAAACCAACCTATTCTAATTGGATTGCAGCTAAACGCACCAAAAAAAAAAAAGAAAAAAGAAATTTAATTTAATTAAAAATTTAAATGATAAAGTATGTTTGGTGGTAAGAGAAATGTTAAATATTGTTTCTTACTTTTTATTAATTATTTCTTTTTTTTCTAGTTCTTGTTGTAACGTCAATCAATGTTATATCAATAAAAATGATGCCATTGATTAACTTGAAACGAAATTCCCCGCAACCTCAGTATTTTTAAGCTCATATAAACATACTCTACTTATGTATTTAATATAACGCGTTAGCTGCAGAGAATGATATCTCTTAAATGTGTTTTCCGACAATATCGGTCATTTCCTTCATCTGGTTATTTCCTCTCTAACCTGAAGGCTTAATAAAAGAATGGACACAACCCAGACGTGGTAACGATGTTTGGCGCTGAGTTGCGAGTTGGGTTTTTCTTTTTTCATATTAAAGAAAATCCAAGAATCGACCTCCAACGTTCCAAACATTATCTCAATCACCATGCGTGAGCACTGTTCTGTCACGTCAGGAATATTCGGATGTCAGGGGATGGTACCGTACGGAAATCATATTTAATCAGTCTCGAGCGGTATCGGTCCCAGGCATCTTACACCTTTATATCATATATAATGATTATTTACGTGAGCATTTTTACATCTATCCGGCTCCCATTCAAATATTTCTAAAAATGACAATTTTATAGACTTCGTAAGATACGCGAAATTCGAAACAATTCCGGCCGCTAGGCAGTCTAGAGGAATATCGGAATCCGGAGACCGTAACCGTAGTAATAAGTATAGTTAGTGAATGCCTATTATATATATCATACTTAAAACATAATTTGGAACCATAATGAATAAGATGAAAGCACTTGAATTAAATGAAATCATACTAAATTATTAAGACATTAAAGTGTATTTTTTTTCTATTCCTTTAATTACAGTTTTTTTTTAACAAGCAGATATCTCGTTTTAATAAAAAAAAATAATAATAAATAAAATAATAATAAAAAAAAGAGAATCATTTAGTTTCTTTCTACTTAATATTTCAATAATAATAATATGTGTTATTATAACACAATATTACTACAACTAGAGCCAAAATCTAATATTATATATTTTACAATTACTTAAATATTTATGTAAAAATATTAGTAACTTCTAAACATGGCTGAGATGGGATGATATTTTTTAAATTTACATTAAAATAATATACATTTGAAATATGTATGTTATATATATATATATATATATATATATTAAATACCTTACTATAACTTTTAGATGCCATTTTTCAATAAATTTAAATAAAATTTTGTAGTTGTTGAATTTATGAAAATGTATAAAAATGATAATTTTAAAACCGAAAATAAATTACGTGATAAGACATGTTATCCTGATTTCATTAGTTGTTATTTTAAAAGGTCCTGAATACATTTAGTTACTAATTAAATAGACAAAGTTTACAGACCTCCTATTCGAAAAATCCCCAATTCCAAGAGTTTCCGCAAATAAAATAGTTTTAGGTTATGATGACATCAAGCTATTCACAAAGTTACAGGCGGATGTTAATAATTTGATAAAAATGAGTCTGTGCCATGGACTATAATTTTGTATAAATTTTTATTAAACTAAAAAAAAAATTATATTAAAATAACGATTTGTTTTGCTGGTTAGTCATATCTAGTTCCGAGTAGGCGCTTGCCAGTGCGCCAGTCAATCAAAATTTTCTTGCCAGTGCCTCGCTGGCCTCTCCAGTGACTGGCATGAACCGTTTACACGTTGCCAGTCGCTGGCATTGAGTGACTGGCGACCTCGACTGGCAAGCCAACTGGCACCGTGTAAATGAGCCTTAACAGTTTTCAAGCCATTTATCATAGAACCAATCCGTGTTGTTATAACATGTTGACATCTCATCATATAATTAGGTCTATATTTCCATTTTGAAGTTATTGTTTTTTTTATAGAACTATTATTAAAATAAATAGTTGCATACAGAGGGAGGGAGGAGAATGATCATCCATATTAAACTTTGTGTTATGCTTAGAATACATGTTTACTCAATCAAATGTGCCTAACATCTGTTATCAATTTTTTAATTATAGGGTATTGAGGATGGACAGGAATTTGAAGAAGAGGTCGAAGAAGAAGGGAGATACTCTCTTGAAGGATATGGTAGAGATGCGCAGGTATATTAATAACTTATTTGGCCTAGAAACTAGTGATAATTTATTATCTTACTTACGATTTATTATTATTGTCTTTATTAGTTTGATGTGTGTTCCCAAACTAATGGAACAGTCACTGTATGAATAGTGATAATATGAATTGATAAAATACTGTTAAAATTTATTTTGTCTTCTCCACAACCTTGTCTATAGGCCAAAATAAAAAAAAAAAATTATAATTTATAGTGTTTTATTTCTAATCGTATGTTAAAATTTAAATTAACAAGTTGGTTACATTTTAATAATCATTTAAAAAATCTCTAGATTTAATGGGTTTTGATTCTAAAAGCTTCATATATTTTCTTCATTTATGTGAAATATTCAGTAATAATGATTGAGGATTATTTAATAACAATTTCATTTTATTGAATATTTAGTAGTTAACCGTTGCATTATAAATAGTTTTACCACTATTTAGCCTATTTATGACCGCAACCCCGGACCAATTTCATTTTAGTTTGAAAATTATTTTGTAATTTAATAAGATTTATTTTCTTCACAACAGGAGATTGCAGGCTATGAAGAGGGCGAGGGGCCAGATATCGACGAAGGAAGCACCACCGACCAAGACAACAATGAGGTTGATATAATAGGTTGGTGGAAATGCAGATGAAATTTTACTTTTAATAAACTTGCTATCAATTTTTGTTTTTGTTTCTGATTCCTAATTCATTGGAACTGATTGCTATTATGGGTACAGAGGAAAAGTGAGGATTTTCGTATCAGATTAAATTAAAAAAAAAAAATGAAGATTTTAAAGAACTATAATTATTTTATTTTGTCCAACTTTCACGGAACCTGAAAAATTCTTTTCACCAATTAGAAAGAAAAAAAAATGTATTTTTTTTTCCCTGTACTCTTTTATGGTAACTGTATTGTTCTATAGAAACAGTTATTTAATACACTGCATAATTTCCCTCCTGAACGTTTTCCAAAACATACAACGCTACATAAATTTAATAATTGATTAGTCACATGTCATCTGAGAGATTTCAGATTTCAGAGGAACATTTGTGAGTGTAGCCAGTGTCTGTTCAAATCTGCTATCCTACTAGCTAGTGATAGCTATATACCCGTGACCTTGCAGTTTTTTTCTTGTCAAGTAATGAGTTACTAGCTGAATCATCTCTGAGATCCTACACGACTACTGTTGTAAATTTTAAATATATTTTTCTTCTCAGATCTAGCAAAATACGGGATAAAAATGTTTGTTCTAACTAGTGCAAAAGTGTTCTATAGGTTTTCTTTAACAGAAACTACTTCTCGAAAACGCGTCTCACAGATGACATGAGACTCCTTATGCTCCCTAGTCCCTAGAGGAGTGACTACTAAAGTGTTAATTCTCACTCAGATATATTATCTATTCCATAAGGAAAATAATTGTTAACCCTTTTTATAATATATTTACTTCAACATTAAGGAGACAGATCATGAGCCTACTCACAAGACAAACTAAGGTAAGATTATATAAAACTTCGATTTGGCCGGTGTTGACCTAGACCTCACAAACATGGACGATGACGAAGGCTTGTGAAAATAATTTCCTTATATTCCAACAGAAAATTTTATGACAAATATATGGCCCTTTGAAAGAAGGAGAAGTTTGGAGGAGACAGAAAAACTGGGAGTTATACACTCTGTATAATGACTTAAATGTCCTCGACTTCATTAAACTTGGAAAGTTAGGTTGGGCAGGCCATATGATTCGGATGGAAGAGCATGATATTCCCAAAAGACTCCTTGAGGATAGGATTGATTGCACCAGGAGGAGAGGCAGACCCAGGCTAAGTTGGATAGATAGTGTAGCGGCTGACTCCAGGAAACTACTGGGAACAGGAAGGCAGCGGCAATGGACCGAGCTGGATGATGAAAGCTCCTGGAGGAGGCCAAGACCCACCCTCAGGTTGTAGCGTCAATGAGATAGAGATTTACTTCAACATTAGCTTAAACTTTTAATAAAAACACTGGAATAATCAACAACCTTATTTTGAAATAAAGAAGTCTTAAAATATACTGCCTGCTTTGCTGTTATTCATTTTTCTTGTTGTTTATTTTCTTTAGATTTTTATTTTTTTGTTTTAACTTTCAATTCTTTGTGATCAAAATAACAACACTGTCTTTTAGAACTTGTCCGAAAATTCTTTGGTAATTATGATTTTATTTCTCAAAAATAGAACTGTTGTCCCAAATTTATAACATGTTGTACTTTGTATAATGGTACCTTTTGATGTTTTAAAACTTAGATGATTCGAGTGAAGTTCCTAATCGATGTGAATCAAGCCGAAGCAACGTTAACGAAACTGTTGCTTCTGGAGGAGAAGCCACAAGTTCCCTCAGCAGTGTTTCCAGTAACCAATCATACCACAGGAGGCCTACAGCTGTACCTATATTAAACAGGCATCCGATACTCTTAGTAAGACATTTTTTTTCTAAACTTGAACTGAAAAAAATCTTAGCTTAAAATTTAATAACCGCTTGTAGTTTTTATACAATATTAATTTAATGTCTGTGTTATAGCTTCGATTATTTTTGTTTCCTTTCTTAATTATTAAGGCTTATTCTAGTGGTAAATATTCTCTTGATATAAACTCCTTTTTATGTGTAAAATAAGTTCTTAGGTTATAATTTTAACAATTAGTCCTTTATTTTTGTTAATAAGATTATTAATGTAATGGATGTTACAGGGCTATGAAGATGGAGGAGATGATTCAATTGTGCCTAGCACTCCAACACTCTTCGTTCCACGCAGGAACGATGGATTTAGTGAAGCGGTCAGCTCCCCACAAGTACCCTCTGGACGATTCACTTTTGCCCAGGAACCTACCCCTCCCCTCCGCCCTACTGGTGAGCATCATAGTTTACCTAAAATCTCTCGAGTTTATCTTTTGAGAAATGGCCCTTTTACCAGTTAATAAATCATAGTCAAAAATTATTTTTAATGCCTTCAGTTATAATTTATAGTGTGGCAGTAAAATATTTATTTAAGTTGACCATTTGCTTATTTTGTTATTACTCTTCATTGAAATAATTGTTTGATTATTTCTATGGATGGTTACTTCTTTAATCAAAAGTGTATTGATTGGTTCTTGTTTTTCATTAGTGGTTGCTGGAGTAACATTAGCAGCCTCTGAGGGTATGGATGACACTAGAATGGACTTGAGCACTTTAGAGGAAGGAACTGGTCGAAGTGTACCTTCGACTCCTTCGCATGTTTCTCCTCAAGGTTAGTATTATATTTTTTAAAGTTAATAGAATGTTGTTAAAACTGAAAAAAAAAATCATTATTGCTAATTGTTGTTTTATATTCCAAAGATTTTTATTTACAATATCTTAACCATTGAATAAGACTTTTTTAACCTAAAGTACCTGAATTTTTTCAAGGGGTCTGTTTACACAGTCACAACATTTTAAGTAAAAACTGCCCAGTGTGTTGACAGTAACAAATTTTTATCAGATATCTCTCTCTTGAATAACACAATTGATAATCAGCTTCTGACCTTGTATGTTTAAATGAAGAAGGGGCTTGTAGAGATAGATTCCTCAACTGTTTGCTCATGAAGCTTCCAATCGTCCTATTGCTTTAATTTCTGTTTATTTATCTGAATTCAGCTCGCAGGTTAAATTGTTCTTCCTTTCAATTGTAAAAATCTCAATATTGTAGATTCTAATTCCATATCCCAGTTATTTTGCGTTGATTCTATTTACAGCCTTACTGGTTTATTCAAATGTAAATAACGCTATTTTATTATATCACTTACAATTCATACGTTGGGCCTTGTTGCTTTCCAGATCTTAAATGTACTTTTTAATTTTATTTCCGACTTGATGAAAATAATCTTCTTAACAAACAAATATTGAAACTTGGGAGTAATAAGCAAGATTAGTTTGAGTTCTTTGAAGTCCTTAATGTTTTATTCATATAGTTAATGTTCACAAAATTATGTTCTATGATTGCTATATAGTGTATAATTTATATATATATATATATATATATATATATATTTTTTTTTCATTTTAAATAGAAGCAGGCGGTGAAGAAATCGGTCAAAGCAGTGGACAAGAATCCGGTGGTAATGGAAGTATCGAAGGGGGAGAGCCAGAATCTGACCAGCAACCACCAGCAGATGATAACCCAGATGGTATGTGACCGTGACCTCCATTTGTTTACAGCAACTGTTACAGGTTACTTAGTGGACGAATTTTTGAAGAAACTGAATTTATCCAATTTTAGTTTAGTACTTGAACAATGCAAATTGTTATAAACTGAGAAACCGTGTTGTGCATTATTGTGTTCTTATTCTTATTTATTGTTGCTCCAGTTAGTTAAGAAATTCATTATATTGTCACAAATTTAATCCCCTTTCTTTAAAAATTTATAATGAAATTGTAACACTTTAGTGGAAAGTATGTGGAGAAATGTAAAAAAAAGATATTATGTCCCTTTAATTTGTAATTTATGCCTGCTATTGTTATTAGTTAATCTATCAGATTATAACTTCTCCTCATTAATACAAAATAACAATTGACATTAGTTATATCATGTTACTAACTTTTTTTTTTTTATAAATATTAAAAAAATAAATAAAATTTATTAGTCCTCAAAATTCACAGGCTCATTGATTCCTTCCTTAATTTAACTGATACAGTTGTATCTTCTAGTTCATTCATACATACAATATCATTGTCTATTTATATTTTCTCAATTTCTTCATCTTGGTTTGTATAGATTTTTATGTTTTATTTAAAATATATTTTTACAGTCAATAATATTCATTGAATTTTTAAATCACTTTATTATTTTAAACACAAATATTTACATAAAATAGATTTTATATTTTATTGTTTGGTGTTTGTAAGACTGTGTTCATTATGTTAGATTTTTGTATATTAACTGAAGTTTGTACATTTCCAAAAATTGAAATAAAGTGGTGCTAGCGCATTGAAGTTAAAAAATGTTAAAGGTGTGAGCAGTGAAGGAGAAAAAGCTGGTGGCAGCCGCGTAAGTCAAGATGAAGAGGAGGGCCGGGAGGCAGAAGCCAGCCCAGCAAGGAGAGCTGCTGGCAGTCGCCGGTCGCCACGCAGTAACCGAGCTCGCAGTAGGGTCACCCCTATTGTCTGGGAGCCTTCTGTATCAATGATGGCTGCTAGGGGTCAGTATTGTCCGTTTGACTCGGTCTATGGTAATGACAAATTACTTAATTTTCCTAGTGTTTGTTTTCTCACTGGCACTCATTTCTTCAACTGCACAAGAAGGTAGCACTAGATAGTTAAAGGTTGAAATTATAGCTGAAGTTTTGCAGTAGTTTTTTTTTTTTTTTCCTTACTACTCATTTACTCATTTTATAAATAATGAAAATCATATTTAATGTCATCCTCTTTTTTTATATGGATTTGATCTTGGTAAGTGTTTAGACAAGACAAAAACTTTGAATTCATTGTAGTTTAACGTAATTTCTTTCTCTCAAAACCATATACTCAGAACAGTTTTAATTAATTCTCTATTATCTCACATGCTGAGGATGTCGTGTGCTTTTTTTTTTTTTCTCATCAAAATAGATTTTTCATGAATCTCCTTTACAATGAAGGTAATCTTTAGCTAAATTTATTCTCGAACCTGTTCTATATCATGTCGCTCTTCCTTTCATTTTTGCACTGCTTTAACCAATTTTTTATTGAGCTGTAGTGTTTGATGAAGGTATTTAAAATGCTTTTTATAACATCTGATGTTGGTTTTGTATATTACAGTAACATTCAGCTACTGACGAAGGTGGAATTAAATTTTATTTATTTATAAATTTAAATTAAATTTTATTATTTTAATTAAATAGAAGAAACAAGGGATGGATATCCTATTTACTTCTTAATAGGATTTTTTTTACATCTCTTCACCTTTCGACTTCCGCGATAAGTCTTCTGGAAGCTTTTATGGGGTTGTTGTAGGTGACATCTGTGATCGTTTGGTTCTCTTGATGATATCCAGGGAGCCCATGGTTCACAATACCGACGCGATTAAACAAACACTCCTTCTTCATCAGGCACTTTCCTGAAGGATGGTTGGCAAACTTTTGTTTCTGTATCCATCGTGTTTTTTTTGTTTTTTTTATGGGGTAGGAAATTATTACTCCTATCCTCAGGGTAAGGGCGTTGTCGTCCCCATGCGGAAATCGAACCCGCTTTTGTAGTGGCCTGAGTAATCAAGTATGGCATGCACTTATTTATTTTAATTTATTATTAATCATTATTATTATTTTTTTTTTTTTAAAGTCCGCAAAACGGGATTTTAGCTCATGACAAAATTTTTGTATGCGCCTTAACTTGCTTGACCACTGCTGCTCAGTAATTAAATACCATTTTGTCAAAAGATTGATTCATCTTTAAGAAAACTGCTAGACTTTTGAATTCAATGAGAATGACAAAAAAAAATTGACAAATTGTTACATAGTTAAGTGATGGAATGAAGCATCTTAATTATGCATTCTTGGTATAAGATTAAATAGTTTAATCTTAGGCAGAATTATTTTAGATTATTGTTGATAAAGAAGCCAGAAATCTAGTTGGATGACAAAAATTGGACTACCTATAGGTTAATTAGGTTTGATCTATTCATAAAATTCGATAAAATAGAATACAAATATTTATTGAATAGTGTATAATATAACATGTGTGTGTGTGTGTGTGTGTAATTTTAATACTTATAAAAAGTTGAGGTATAAAAGTAAACGTAGACCAGGTGGTTTGAAATTTCAAAGCTACTTAAAAATCTTACCTTGTCAGATGAAAAAGCTGCCTATATTTAGTTAAATATATAACCTAAGTTTACATGTTGCTATTTATTAAATCTCAAATTTGAAATGTGCATTTAACATTAAAGGTGGTTTTAATCAATAAGGCCAATAAACACTTAGCAAATCAATATGGCGAGGTAGACTAATTACAAAAATGTTTTGATAGATTAAACAATATTTGAAGAATTATTTTTTCTGGTTATATAAGATTCATTTCTGAAACCAAACAGATCTGGCAGTTTAATAAACTATTTTTATTTTTGATAAATAGATTTCTAGTCAGGTGATGGTAGTTTGACTATTAACGTTTATTATACTTGTAAGCTGTGAGTTCTGAGAGCCACAAGCACTTAATAATGATCAATGGTGTCGTTCAAATTCTTAACTTAAATTGTTTTCAAATAATTTTTTTTATGTAAATATATGTTTTACATATGCTCTAGTACTTTTGTAAAATTTTCATTTAATTTAATTATATTTGGATTTTTTATTTAATGTAGCTACAATAAGGTTCTCATTCTTCCTGTTAAATATCAATAGAGGATGCCGCTAATATTTTTGTGTTCCTTTGAATTAAAACCCAAGTTATAACTCTTTTTTTATTTATTTTTTTTTAATAATTGGTTTGGTAACATTTTAGGAAGTGGAGCGCCTCCAATGAGACCCGCACGAGGTGGACAGCCTGGAAGGAGCGGTGGCTTCAGAGGGGGAAGGCCTCGGCGAGGCTCCAGGCCTGGCTACCATCCTGTCAACCAACCATTCCAGCCAAACAGATTCTAGCCAACTACTTCAGCCGATACTCACCATGCAAATATTGAGAGAGATTCTGATGTGGAAGGACCCTAAAGCTGCTTTGCCTACCTGAAATTATTCAACAGAAAAAAATTTTTAGTGATCGAACAGAAACTCTGATTAAAGACTATAAAATCAGTTGACAATTTTCTGCTCAGAATGTATTGATAACTAATGGGATATCAAATATTCTGTTACAATTTATTTGTAAAAAAAACAATTATATATATTTATTTATTAATAAGTTTGTGAGCATCTATTATGATGAAAATAAGAAGCCTTTTAATTTACATTTACTGCTTATTGATTTGTTTTAAAAAATAACGTTGATAATATGTGTAAATTGGGTTAGGAATGCATTTGTTATATATATATATATGAATTGTATTATAAATGTTTTGTTATTGCATGTATTGTATTCTTTTATGGTTATAAGAATTAAGACTTTTTTTAATTGGCTTTTGAAAGAGCACTTCACATTTGTATCCTTCGATTTTTTTTTATAATACTTATTATTGTAAAAAAGAAATGACCGAAAATATGATGTGTATCAAATTGAATGCCTTATAAAATAAAATGTAACTTTTTATTATTTTTGTTGTTTAATTTAAAAAAAAAAAAATTAAGATTTATTATTTTGGTATCCATAAAGAATTCTCAGGAACAGAGATTTTTCTACAGTGCTGTTAATGTTTCTGCTTTTCACATGAGTGCAAGTCACTGTTACCTGGCAGTTAATTTTTAAAGAATTTACATTCTCAGTTCTTTTGCAGTGACATCAGGAGAATAGGAACTGTGCTGTGTGTATAAAATAAAATGTCCTGTACAGCACTGTATATTAGAGAAGCCTAGATAGGACAGTATTTAAAAAAAAATAATAAATAGTGTCCAACAGTAATTTTTCTCTTCATCCATTCGGATTTTGGCTTTATTCTTAAATATTAGTTATGAATATTCCATGACTATGTCTAATATTTAACATAAATAATCAGTAATAATTACCATCTGTTTAAAAATTATCTTAAATATGTTATTTAAGATGGGCAAGGCATGTAGTTCGGAGCAATCCATCTGGAATACTCTAAATGACTATGAATGCCTCAATAGTAGGAAGGCCAAAAACCAGATGGGTAGATCGAACCAAAAAGGATGCTCTAGAGCTGCATGCAGAGATCCAGAAAGAAATAGGCAGAGATGGAGGAGACTTGTTAAGGTGGCAAAAGATCTGAAAGGTCTATTGCGCAACAGAAAAAAAAAGCTTTATACTCTAGGACATTTTTATACAATAATTTAATTTCAAACAGAAAGAAAAATACTTTTTTAAAAATATAAAGAAAACAAGTGACTTGTATAAAATTGTTTTGTTTTTTCAGTCCCAGTGCTAAAATTATAAGACATTTAAATCAATATTTTCCCACTAGTTATTCACAGTGATAGCAGAACTAATTTGGTTTTATAAATATATACATATTTAGTTTTTTTTTGTATAAGTATGGAAAATTTTAATCAGAGTGACTGCTACTAAGGTTAGTGTTAAAATCAAATCGTTCTTGCGTTCTAAGTAGTAATATTCAAATAGATATTTTTTTTTAAGCTTAATAATTTTTGAAGATATGAAGTATAGATTGTATTTAGTTCGAAATTTGAAACAACATAGTTTATTTCAAATCAGTGCTGCACAAGTTCACCCTCAGGTTGCCAACTAATTGAGGGCGAGCTATAGATCTAAACATTTTCGTTCTTGAAGCTGAGATCAAGAAAGTGAAAATCACTTAAGGAAGTAGTTGTTTATATTCCCTGTCTTTTTAGTATAGCTTAAAATTCAGGTACAGAACTTTTTACAATATAATAAAGAATATTTAAACCGTTATAAGTAAATCAAAAATAAATCTGGCAAATTATGTACTAGTAATAGATTTTTTTAACTGATAAACAGATAAGCTTTATATGACCAATGAAACCTGAGCATTATAGGTACAATATACACTGAGAATTTCCCGAAATTTTTCATGAATAATTAACTAGTTGACTGTGTAGAAAAAGTAGTTCAATGAAAGGCTAAATTTTCTGTCGATTGAAATCATTAGAATTAAAGTTGAAAATTTCTCTTAAAGTGTCTATTACTGGTACATTTACATTATCTAAATTTTATTACGTAAAATGTAATAATTGTTTCTGTTCTCTAGATTTTTTTTTGTCTATAAAATATGTATTTGTGCCTGTCAACAATAAGTTGACAATCAGCAAATGTGATGGCGATAATGATATAATGACATGACAGGCATGGGGAAATAATTTTTACTTTCCCTATATTAGGTAACTAAGAGAATAAAATAAATAAATTGGAACATTTCTAGACATACTTAAGCGAATTTTGTTTATATTTTTTTTGGACTTACAACATTAAAGAACCTGCCAACAACCATTAAACCCATCACAGCAGATGTGGGCCCTTTAACATGTTTACTTTCTGGCATATGCCTGTCCACCTGTCATACTTATCAGCTGTGATAGCACAATGCATCTTACTTATCAGCTAAAATTTGACAGATGCTACTAAAAAATGATCAAATTCTCTGTTACTTTTTAAATTTCTAATCCCTAAAAATTTCAAAGTGAATGCTGAATAAAATGTGTATGTATTCTTAGTTCGCTTAATTATTGTTAATTCATGAAATCTAATCTGCAAATAGCTTAATGCTTCTATCTGTTTTTATATCTATATCTGTTTTTGCTTCTGTTCCTATTTGATGACAGTATGTTCTATAAGTTTTTTTCTGTCTGTATACTTCTCTATTTGAATATATGTACTTCTCATAATCTGTTACATATGATTCATGAAAGACTAAAAAAGTGTTGTTTTTTTATCAATCATTATCACTAGTTCAATGAAAATACTCTTTTACTGTTGAAAAGGCACAAAATTGTTCTTCCTTTTGGAAATTTTGCTCCATGTTTCTTTTTTCTTATCAAATTGCTCTAAAAATAGAAAAAAAAACATAATTGAAATAATTACTAAAATTGTAAGGCATTCAGATATTTTATTTGCTGTTGTTGATTGAAGATAAAGGTATATAAAGCGACAAAAATGATACATTATTTTTGAATTAATTCATTTAAAACTTATGAAAATATAGAAATAGCTATTCAAAACAAAAGAATATTTAAGCATACAATTAGGTTTTATAAATAAGAATTATTTTTTCAGAGGAATAGTTTCGGGAGATGATTTATGTCTCACTCCTTCCTAACTAGGCACTGTCACAAGCCATTACAGCAGAGATCAAAAAGGTTTTTAACACTTGTAGTTTATCTGTGGGGGGATTTAATCACCATGATCTTGTTATCTTAAAAAGATAAATGAAAGTTATAATTAAAAAAAAAAAAAAAGTGAGGGGCTTTCGGGCTGAAGTCCCACAAAATGGTAAAATATAACCATGTCTTATGAAAAAAATTATCTCTAAAAGTTTTATTGTTCCTGTAATTACATTTAATATGACTTTAAGAATCAACCATTTCATGTAGGTAGTTAGGATCTTTCATTCCTTTTTCCAAAGTAGTAATCTTTATATAAGCAAATCTAGTGACATTTCTGAAATAACATCATATTTAGAGCCAAAATGGAATAAATCCTATAAAAGCGATAACCAACCAAAGCCTTCTTCAGTTAAAATAGGGTTTTCTAAGAGGTTGTCCTATTCTGAATTCTTTATGACGACTGGCAACATAATATCATGAGGAAATCGCAATTGAATTCTTACTTTGAAGGAGTTACAGTTGTCAAGTCAACACGCCTGGAACTAAATGTTATTCAACTCCTTGATTGCTTACTTTTTAATCTTCACTAAAAGAGGTGTGATGCGAAACTTTTTTGATGCGTGTACTTATACAAACTGACTGGATTAATGACTTGCTTTTTAGGACTATAGAGATTTACTTATTCAACAGCTCACAAGACCAGTGAGCCGCATTCATCCGACTACGATGCCGCAGCTAGCTCACGGAGACCACATGCGGCCTCGAAGCAGCGGATTCTGCACCTATTTCCTACAGGATATGGGAAAAAATCATGTTATTATTAAATGTTTTAAGAAAGCCCTACTTAAAAAAATCATACTTTATATATTATCTCTCAAGGTATTTCTTTGTCGGCACGTCATATCCTCATAGTCTTTATTAAATCCAATGATTAAGCGATCATCTTTTAAGATTGTATTCTATTTAAGGCAATAACGGATCCAGGATTTAATTTTGGAGAGGCTTCAGTCCGAATGATTTTTTTTGTATGTATATATTAGGATAATTACATCGGAAGAAAGAAATAAATCAAATACCTATTAAATGTAATTAGACGAACAATAATGCTTTTAGAGATAATTTTTTTCATAAAACATGGTTATATTTTACCATTTCGGAGAGGGGGAGGCTTCAGCCCGAAAGCTTTCTCTCCCCCCGTAGATCCGCCTGTGACTTAAGGTGAAAAAATAAGCTTATCCTCCAGAAAAGTCTGGAAAATAAGTTATGAAGAAAAGGAAATATTACTTGCACACATAAAAAAGTATACATTTTATGGCTTTACCCATGATGATTAGTAAGTTTTCCAAAGTCTATAAAAAGGAAAAAAAAAAATCATCGTAATCGGACAATATTCGACAATGATCCAGATAATTGTGATTTGTAGTAGTTTTGGTCTATTATTTTGATCGAGCATTGTAATTGTCGAAGGAAATTAATTCCTACTCTATTAATATTGAATTTTCTAATTTCTGTATTATTTTAAATTATACGCTCTGATACAGGCGGATCTACTGAGGGTTTTGGGCTGAAGCTACCCCCCAAATTGTTTTATGAACCATGTTTCATGGTAAAATATATATATATATATATATATATATATATATATATATATATATATATATATATATATATTGTTCATTGATATTTACAACTGTATTATAAAAAAATACAAGTAGTAAATGTGCACACAG